CCGCCGATACGAACAAGGTCCCATAGTTAAACTTTAAATTGACTTCTTTTTTCTTTTTCTTTTTTTGCAAGGATAAGCCCACCCAGGCACATTTGACAATGCATTATGCTTTCATTATCTTCCCGGGCAGGAGTAATTCTCTGTTTGACTTTTTTTTTACATTCATTTACCGTATTTTGTCATTCTATTTCTACTTTTCTTTTAAATTAAGTGATTTTAGATGTACAAGGGGCCCCCCTCCTAAATTCGCAGGGGTTAGGTTCTCAAAATAGCAGCAAATCCCCAAATCCAAAAAATAACATTTGGTGACTGGGGGGCAGGAGGGGGGGGGGGATACATTTTGACTTGTGTACAAAGAAATGTATACAGTGGTCCCTCGGTTAACGAAATTTCGGTTAACAAATTACATGTACCTTCCATAAGAATCTTCATTTCGGTTAACGAACAAAAATTCGGTTAACGAAATTCTTACAAAAATGTTTCGACATGCTTTGGCTTGCTCACCAGTTGGAAGATTAGTCCGCAATACAGAAATCGGTTCTAGGGCTTACATTCGTTAAAATTGGAGTAAATATCAAGAAGGTTGTACTATTCAATAATTTTCCAAGTTTTATATTAAATTTTTTAGTAATTTTAACACTTATTAAACATAATTGCAGTACAGGGAACTAGTTTTTGGTGTGCCCATCAGCCACTTCATTCACCCACCAAAGCCTCAGTTTGTATCTCTGTTCAGTGGAGGAAACATCTTGCTTGTGGGTCTCTTGAACACAGAGTATTTTTATGTTTTTACAGTACAATTATTGGTCATTCTGAAATTTATTTTACATATTGACAATATATAGTGCAGTGCAGATTTAAAGAAAATAATCTTGAATTACACCTAGTGAACTTTAAATTTTATGGGTGAAATGACAGCATCCAGCATGGGGTGATTTCTCTTCCACCCCAATGCCTTCTCTTCTCCCTTTTCCTCCACCCCAATGCCTTCTCTTCTCCCTTTTCCTCCACCCCCACTTCTAATTCCCATCATCATCAACCAGGTGCCTTCTACATACACACCTCAAAGTAAGTGTACTTTACTGCATTTATTTTTACTTTGTATGTAATTTTCGGTGAGCTGGAACCAATTACCCAAAATCCCATTGAAACAATGGTTTCGGTTAACGAACGACCTTGTGGAACAAATTGTGTTCGTTAACCGAGGAACCACTGTATTCCCTTTACAGTATGTGTTTGCCCTTAAGGACAATTATTTCTTTTACCTGTATTGTATATATCTGTGTGTATGTCGGCACACACATACAAAACACATACAAATAAATAATAATGGGAAAATACTCTCACAAATAATCAGAAACAAATTTATTAAAAACGTGACATACCCAGAGTGACGCCAAACATTACCTGACGCAGCCAAAGTTTGACCCACGCAAGTGTGAGGCGTCAGTTGTGTCTCAGCAGAATATAACTTGCATTGCTGGAATCTTTGAAAGACAGCAAATAATTTGAATATAACATCATAGATTTTGCACAGGAGATAAAAATTTTAGTCTATAGTGTAATACAATTAAGTACAGTACACGTACAGTACAGTACAGTACAGTACAACTCGTATTTTTGGTTAAATTTAAGTAACTTTCTTCATTTATTTTTACTCATTTACATGCACACACTATCCTAAATACATTTTGTGAAAAAAGTAAAAGAAATAATTGTCCTAAGGGCAAACCTGTACTGCACTCAAATTTACTAAATAATGACTAAAATTTTATGTCTAGTGCAAACTATAGAATGTTTATACAATGATCCCTCGGTTAACGAATTACCTTCCATAAGATCCTTAACTTCGGTTAACGAGCATTTCCTCGATTAACAAATTCCTTACGAGCGCCCCTCAACATGTTTTCGCTTGCACACTAGCTGTCGTATTAGTCCGCCAATACAGTAATCGGTTCTAGGGCTTAAATTCCTTACTATTTTAGTAAATATCAAGAAGTTTGTACTATTCAATAATTTTAAGTCTTATATTAAATTTTTTAGTCATTTTAACAATTATTTAACATAATTTAAGTACAGGGAAACTAGTTTTTAGGGCGTCAAACAGCCTGTCAACACACCATACAGGCGTCAGTCTCTGTGTCTTTTCAGTGGAGGTAACATCTTGCTTCAGACTCTCTTCAACATAAAAGCTTTTTTTGTGTGTTTCCAGTCAAATTATTGGTCATTTTGAAATTTATTTTACATATTGACAATATATAATGCAGTGCAGTGTTGATTTAAAGAATATAATCTTGAATTACACCAAGTGAACTCAAATTTTATGGGTGAAATGGTGCCATGGGGTGACTTCTCTTCCACTCCAATGCCTTCTCTTCTCCCTTCTCCTCCACCCCCATTCTAATTCCCATCATCATCATCATCCAGGAGCCTTCTACATACACGCTTCAAAGTAAGTGTACTTTACTACCTTTTTGGTTGACTTTAGGCAATTTTCGGTGAGCTGGAACCAATTACCCAAAAACCCATTGAAACAATAGTTTCGGTTAACGAGCAACCTTCTGGAACGAATTGTGCTCGTTAACCGAGGGACCACTGTATTCAAATTAATCACTAACTTACAAGAATTCCAGCAATGTAAATTATATTCTCCCAAGTCAAATCAGTGACATTTTATAAGCGAAAAACTTAAACTCCTTCTGTATGACTGATAATGACGTCTGGGTTAGTAATCTCTGGAGTGTGTGTGTGTGTGTGTGTGTGGGGTGAGGGTGGTGCTGGAGGGTGTGTGTGTGTGTGTGGTGATGGTGTAGGTGATGTGGGGTGAGGGTAGTGCTGGAGTGTGTGTGTGTGTGTGTGGTGATGGTGTAGGTGATGTGGGGTGAGGGTAGTGCTGGAGTGTGTGTGTGTGTGTGTGGGGTGAGGGTGGTGCTGGAGGGTGTGTGTGTGTGTGGTGATGGTGTAGGTGATGTGGGGTGAGGGTAGTGCTGGAGTGTGTGTGTGTGTGTGTGTGTGTCAATTTGGAAGAACTTATGTTTGTGAGGCAGCTTTTTCGTCAATGGTGTTTATAAAAAATGATTGTAACCGTATATCAAACTTCCACTTAGATGCTATGTTGCTTAAACTCACATACCCCCAGGCATAGAAAATTAATCAAATGACGATATGTATAGTCCCCTTCACTAGTGCATTTACAGGGGCTCATCATATAAACATTCCACAAATCACAACATTGAGATATTAGTTTTAATTCTGTTTTACTTTGATTCCATATTACATTTGCTATTTCGAGTTTTCTTCTGTCGAATGTAAATAAGCACAGAGCTGCCATACTGCACAAAATCTGATAAGCCCCTGTAAACGCACTAACAAAAGGGACTGTACGTATTAGATATGAAATGTGAGTGTAGCATATGACAGAGTTGTAACTTAGAAAATTGTATGCTATATTGTTTAATCACATAATTATACCCTCATTTAACAGAAAATTTATTGAATGATGATGCACATGTCATATGAAATATGACAGAGTTGCAACTAAGAAAATTGTACAGTACTGTATGTCATGTTGCTTAACCACGTAATTATACCCCTAGTTATAGAACATTAAATGAGACAGAGTTGTAACCTGTTTCTTTCAGTGTTTACTGAAATCTCAATTACAGTACCAATTAAATTTTCCTTACAGTATTTGTTTTTACAGTTAAATAAGCATGTATAAAAATATGTCCATATTTATTCTAAGAATATATATATATATATATATATATATATATATATATATATATATATATATATATATATATATATATATATATATATATATATATATATATATATATATATATATATATATATATATATATGACTTGGGGTCACACTGGAAAATGGTTGGGAATCCCTGACCTAGATGCAAATCTTCACGGTCTTAGGCCTTCAAAATAAGATAGTCGTGCATCTTATTGGCCTGACACCCACTCAAATAACAAAAAAAGCCAAAATTCCCACTCATATCACTTTTCCCCCAATAAATGATATGGGGAGATGGAGGCAGAACCTGCAATCACAGCAAAGGTGACAGGTCCAGGTAAAACCAGCTGGGAGCTCAATGAATACCTTAACCTGATGCGATTTAAATTAACGTGACTTTTCTGATCGTTCACAGGGTTGATTACGAAATAGTATAAGAGTCTTTGCACAGCTATTAAGTGACCACCAAGTTTTCTAGTAACTCCATCTATTGTTAGTAATACGAAAGATCTAAAACCCTCCTCTCCCGTTAGGTTTAACTTTTGTAAGTTTGCCCCGTCTTAGTTGGTGCAGTCTCATAAGAAATGGGGACCTACCACAGAATATTAAAACAAACTCCAAATGCTGAACAGCAATTAAAAACCTAAAATATAGGCATCACCACCACACCATGATACTCCAGCTACACTTTCGGGGGAATATTATAACTAAGGCTATTAGTTAACTTGACATAATTACCAACAGTTGCTCCCAGAGATCTCTTGTAAATGATGTGTTGAAAGACTGTCCGAGTTGGGAAAATGTCAGTCAGGTATTGAGGAGTTGTAATGTGCGTGTGGCAGCATTGCAGTGCGGACAAAGTAGATTCAGGAGTTTGATATTACCGGATAAGCAAAAATCATCTGGGGCTTTCATAAACAGGCCCCAGAAGCCAACGACAACGGCGAAGAAAAAAATCTACCCACACATTATTATAAACCTTGATAGTTATTCACAACATACCACTGCCAGCTTCTGGATCCCCTAATACACACTAGAATTTGTAGACTCTTGAAACAGGTTACAGTATTCTGCTCTTATTTCTTAAAGATTCTTTACTTGTAATGTTGGTCATCTGCTTCTGTCAGTAACCACAGGAGGTTCAGGTAGTTGGTACTGTATTGTTTTACCATCACTGTTACAGGGCTGTACTTTAAATCCTTGATTTTCTTTTTAGTTGGTGTAAGAGATGGTAAAATACCATTACTGTATATGATTACAGTTATATTCTTTATTGTATCAGAAGCTTGTATTTTGCACAACGAAGACATTTCATGCAGCATAATATTCAACTCTCCTTACAAGCTACATCAAAGTAATATCTCCGTTAGCCGGAATCCCTCAAACCCGGAACTCTCCGATAGACAGAATTGAAATTCTCGGAAAATCGTTCCCTAAAGCCGGAATGTTCCGGAAAATTCCGGGGATGGGGGACATTTTTCCGGGTTCGAGAGATAATGTAATGGGCAGTTTCTGGAACTTCAGAGATCATTTTTCTGTTACCCGGACAATTCCGGGGAGGAGGGATTTTTTTTCCGGCTTTGAGAGTCGTCTCGTTACCCGGAAATCTCTCATTCCCGGAAGTGCTCTGGACCAATTGTTCTGGCTAACGGAGATATTACTGTTTGTATATGGTACAGTATATATATTCATAAACAGTCTTCCTCCATGACAGAAGGGACTTCTCTTAAAAACATATTGGTGTGTCTCTTGGCAGGATTAAAGGATAAGACATCACAGTCTAAAACCTTTATATAAATACTGTATACAAGAAAGAAGTACTGTATGTGTTGCCAAAATAGTATTTATTTCATTATGTAGGTCACATTACAAAATACAAAAGGTTTCAGATATGATTATAATACTGTTAATACCTGTAGTTTGAAAATTTTAAGTCAAAGTGAGTATCACTTTGCAGTAAATTTTTGGAACAAATGAAAAAAATAGTTCATACATAATTATGGAAAAGCTAACTTGGAGTACAATGACTAGTAACTAAGAATGACTTCACAGGTATATTGTATAGTACTTATTTATTTGCTTCTAGCATATGAATTATATACAGAACTGTAATTTACTATGATCTTCCATGGATTGGAAAACCATAATCCATAAATAGTCAATTTAAAGCAAGGCATCAAGTACTTCCAGACTTAGTTTTGTGACCAAACTTAAAGTACATCAGATAATTCTGCATCCCGAGACTTGATATTAACCATTTTTTCATACACCTTCAAATGATGATTCAAATACATAAACAAATTTCTAGACATTAAAATACTAATCTGCATTCTAACAAAATTTTGTTAATCACTAAATTCCATTACATAAGTAGACATCTTAGGCACATACACTTAATGATCTAATGTAGTGGTTCCCAAACTTTTTAACATGACGCCCCCTTTTGCTTTTTGCGAAGTACTCACACACCCCCCCCCCCCATATTTTTGTATGTAAAATCTACATAGATTTAATTTTTTATTATAATTATATTTTAGTATTGTTGAGGATCAGTGACTGGTAGTGTTGTGAAAGATACGAGTAGTGCGAGAGTCAGTATGGTATCCATGACATGTACAAGACGCATAAGAAGAGAGATGAAATGGAAGAAAACGGATAGGGGTGACTGCTATACTTTGGTTTTGCATGGATGTGTGGAAGATTCAAACGGAGAGAGAGTTAGTCCTGAAAGAGTTTCTTCATTATATTCCTTTTGAGCAAAAAAGGCAAATATTTGGCAGATGGCTTCACGCCTCCCCTGTACCCACCTCACGCCCGCTCCCCAGTTTGGGAACCACTGTTCTAATAGTTCTTCCAGTGTTGAATATTCACAAACTCTAATAAACCTAGTCTTCTTAACTAACCTGATACGGCATACCTCTTGCTCACTACCCATCGCATTTCCACATGATCCTTATAGTAATAAACATCAGGGAAGTTATCAATCAGTATTGTCTCACTTTGGTTCTATTCAGAGTTAAAAAACATACAGATTCTTCCAAAATTTCAAACTTCCTGATACTTGATAAAAAGTAAGTTCAATAATTCTGGAATAAACCAAGGAAGAATTTTATATGTAAGTATGACTGCCATGTACAGTACAAGCAGCAGCAGCCATCCTGCTGTACAGTACATTAAAATAATATAATTGCCAGTAAAAAAAATCCTTAGTTTTAAAAATTATACACAAGGAGGAAATTAAGAGAAACCTACAACAAAAATACAAATACGGTACAGTATATAAAAAATTAGCGAAACAAATATTTTCAGGATATTATATTGTATGGCAGGATGTGCAGTGGAACTCAGTTGCTTCTGCAATATGAAAAAGGCAAAAGGAAACGACTACAGTGTTATCTTCGTCAGCCGGAACAATTGGTGCAGAGCACTTCCGAGAATGTTTAATTTCCAGGTAACGAGACAATTCTCTCGAAACTGGAAAAAATCCCTCACCTCCGGAATATTCTGGGTAACGGGAAAATGTTCTCGGAAGATCCAGAAATTGCCAATTACATCTTCTCTCAAACCCGTAAAAATATCCCCCATCCCCGGAATTTTCCGGGTATTGGGAAAATGTGCCCCCTGGAAAATCGTTCCCAAATCTGAAATGTTCCATAAAATTACGACTTTGGGACCGATTTTCTGGAAAAATTTAAATTCTGGCTATTGGAGAGTTCCGTGTTTGAGGAATTCCGGCTAATGGAGATATTACTGTACCATAAAGAAAATCAATTTTTTTAACCTGTATCATGATCATCCTTCCATCGGTAACGGTAGCCAAGAGGACTGCTAACTAAATGGGTATTAAAAGTAAAATATCAGTAGCCAAGCATGAAAATCAGTACAATTATACTTAACTTCAATGAAAAGATTTTTTGGAACCTTTCCTTACATTAGAAAGAAACTACTAAAACAAATAAAATCAGGTACAGTACTGTACTTATGTATATGAAGTATGTACAGGTATAAGTATAACATATTAAGCATCCATTTTTTAACAGTTTTTAGTGTTAACTGATTTTACTCTAGTTTCTTGTTTAAGACTACAGTATGCAGTACTGTATTTGATGACAGCACATATTACAAATTTTTTTTTTCCTCGTTTAAATTATCTGGATGGCTGTTAAATGTACCCCAACAGTATAGTGCTAGTACTGAAAACACTGCATTAGAAACAGTTGGTGATGTACAGTATTTGGAATATAGTACAGTATAAGCACCTTCATACAGGGTGCCCCATAGGTTGCATGCCATATGAAACCTAAGGCCACCTTGATTTCTTCCTCTGGTGTAACCTAAAATCTTTCATCTACTGTACTAAGATTCTCATAGAACCCGAAAAAAAAAATTTTCCTATGGTATATAACCTATGAGACACCTTACAATTACAATATAATGTCTTACGTTGATTTTTCCCAAAATATACATATCACAAAATCTTTAAAAATATTGTTGCTAGAGATCTAAAACCTGATAAAGAATGGATAATTTTACAAACTAGTAAAGCTAATACACATGTAAAATAGTTGTCTGTGTTAAATTATGATACTATTTAGTACACTCGAGGCAGACAGAATAATTTGAATATGACTTACAGTATTACATGGTTTGTCTAAATTTAATGAAAATAAAAATGGCAATTACTTTGAAATTTTTCCTAAAAAGAAAAAGAAAAAAGAAAATTAACCTGTAGTAGTAGCAGACTGTATTTACATAATGCACCCATACAGCATCTGTGTAATGTAACACTTAAACGTGCTCAAAATATATTTACAATTTTACTCCTCCTCCCTTACTCAAAACTTCTATTACATCTTGGATCCTTTTAGCCAACATCTTTTGATTAACATTTCCTGTTTTCTTTGTTCTCAGAAACTTGAGAATAAATATTCTAAGACTCTGGCGAAGCATATGGAGTTTAGGAGATGCACAAAGCTCAGAGAATATACGTTCAACTGCATCTGCACCGGCCGGGTGAAGGATTAGAGCAATGAGAGTTTGCCTTAAGAAGCTTATCATCTGGCTACTCACTTCCATGAAAGATATATTCTTGAACACTGATAAATTTATACCATTTTCCCCTATTAAATGTGTCACAAATTTGCCCAAATTAGCAGTTTCTCTGGGATTCATGGCCTCAATTACTGTAAACTTGTCCCAAAGAGCAAACTGCAAAAGTCTTTTAAACTTCTTGTCAAATTTACACATTCTGTCAGCAAGATGTGCAAAAAATGGGTTGTAAACTTTGCTTTTCTGAGAGCATAACAATATAACATTGAAGAGTTCTCGTTCTTGTTGACTCGGTAAACTTAACTGAAGAAGTTTCTCAAAGGCATCAAGATAATCTTCTGAACCCTCTGTGATAATGTACAATATGTTTATTCTAGGTGGGCGTGACAGCTGCAGTTTACCTGCCCTTTCTTTAAATTTTTCACTGAACTTATTTTCTAAAACCTTATTCTTGTTAGCAATGTCTAGTTGTCTCTGACCTAAAGGAAGTTTTTCTCCAGGTAAGTCCCCAGACCAAGCAGAACCCACAATCCACCAACGTCCACACTCTCTGGCCTTTAGAAGGTCTTCCAAAGAAACATTAAGTGGAGTTGAATGCATCCCTTTCCTCACTAGTCCTTTGAGAACCTTTTTAAGATGTTCTACATTTGAGGGATCATAGTTAGGCATCTTAGCCATGTTGTTGTTACGAATAGCCTGTAATACTTCTAACATGAAACGCACCCGAGAAATTTCCACATTGCCCTCATTTTTGGCTTGTGCTATAGAGGCTTGGGCCTGAATTTCAGTAATGAGCGATTTTAGAGCCAGAGGATCGTCTTTCCGTAAAGTAAATCCCACGCTGCGAAGAACCAACAGGATGAGCTCCACCTGAAAATGTATTCTCATTTTATAATTAAAGCATGTATGCCTATGACTGTAAATCAAATTCTGAAATTAAATTGCAAAACATACATATATATAAATTTTTATCGAGTACTTAAATTCATGAGGTGCAATAATTTGTTTTAAAAAAGAACTGACAATACTGTAGTCATTACCTAACCCAAGCTAGCTTTTAAGAATTTGAAGTTTTAATTAAAGTTTGGCCAAGACTAGTGTCCATGTTCTCCAGCTATTGAACAAAAACCAATATTGATTAGCAATCACATCAGAAATGGAATTCCCCCTGACTGATTCATCAAGTTTGGTCTGTTGCAGATATAAAGAGCACACAATACTACTCAAGCAAACATTACAGTCAAGGCTAAAATAATCCAAATTTAATTACACTAAATACAGTACAGTATTACCCCGCTTCACGCGGTTTTTTTTTATGCGTTTCCACGTTATTTGGTACCCTGCCAGACCCGGAATGCTCACTTTACACGGTGCATGTACTCTTTTGCGTGGAGAGCGGCGCGGGCAGGGTGCGCACAAGGTCGCCCAGTCATCAAAACATTACCGAGTTCTTCACCCGCCACCCACCACAGCCGGCCCAAGTCAGTGATAGTGAGGATATGGACTTATATGGACTTTGAGGGGTTTGACAAAGAGGCCCTGCAAGACTCTGTGGTGGATAGTGATACAAGTGATACAGGTGAGGGCCAATAATCTGCCCTCTGCCTCGGATCCAACCCCCCATCCCCGTGTGCCCAGCCATCTTTTCTACTAATGTAAGTGTTAAAAAACCTAATATTATTGATATTTTTCTTAATTATTAATTGTGTGCATACCATCATAAAATTAAGAAGTTCTTTTTACTACAACGTAGATATTGTGTCTGAGAAAGTGGAGTTTGGGGGTCAGCCCAGTCTCTATTTCAATTAATCCCATACGTTCTGTTGTTCACTTTACGCGTTTCCTGCTTTACACGGGCCTCCGTGGGTTCAATTGACCGCGTAAAGCGAGGTTTCACTGTATACCGGTATGCTATGATGAGGAAGCAGTTTACAACTTTCTTTTCCTTTGACTCATAACATTTGGCTCATGGTTGTGAACTATTCAAAAAATTAAAGTACAGTTCTATTTAAAATTTGTGAAAACTAATGTTAGTTAAACATATTGAAAACTTACAGTATTTGTATATTGTGGAATCTTACACTATTCCTCACCTCTTTATCTGTAAAGCCAATGGTCAGTTTATGAAGAATGTCATACACGAGTTGAGGATCCATCACTCTGAAGTTATAAAGGTTGGCTATAACCAGTAGCAAGTTGTCCACTTCTTTAGTGACGTCATTCTCACCTGGCACCAAGCAACCCATTTCATCATTCCATCTTATCACAAACTCATTCATGATGTGAGCACCAACCTATGAATGAATGATAATAAGTAGTATACTTATTTACACTGTTATGATTAATGATAGATACATTGCAGAAGAAAATGGGTGTAGGCTTGGGGGAGGGAGTCATTCTTGTATGGCATGCTAAATACTTCAATAAAATAAGAAATCCATTAAGCTATATTACTTTAAACATAGTTTAAAAACATATAGTGTACAGTACTTGGTCATGCTCAAAGGTCGCAGATGTAGAACTACCAACCTTTCAGAAACATATAGAGTAACATTGCTCGGAAAGCCTCAAATCACATCCACCCCACGGTTAACGATACCTTTAGGGGACTGTACAGTGAGGTCTAGCTTAACGAATACCTAATTAATGAGAAGTCAGTTTAAGAACCTTAGTGTTTAGGGTACGTACAAGGACTCGATTAAAATTGAATTCAATTTAATGAACAAAACTTTAGAGTGAAAAGACTTCACAAGGTGAACTGAATCTGAAACTCCAATTTGTAACTGATGCCATGTCAATCTATCAGTTAAGTGTATGGGTTAAAGCCTTGGCCAACCACTTACACAGCAGTTATGGATTACTCGAAAAGAAAAGTCCAACCTTTCCCTTACAACTAGAATCCTCAAACAAGGTTCTTTGGAAATAAGAATTAACATTTACTGTGCAAGATATTATGTTGGCTCATAGCTCTGTAAGCAGTGCACTGCACCTCAGTCATTTGCCTAGTCCAAGATGGTAACCACAACCCACCTTAGTGTTAGCCATTTTGCACAAAACTCGAGAAAGAGGTGGGGAAACTAGATCCTTCAGTGAGATCCGTCTTAAATTATTTTGATTCTGAAAACCCATTTTATAACAAGAGCCACTTAGGTGCGACCCGTGAATATGTAACTACAACCATTCTTTTCACAGCTTCCCCAGAAAACCCTTAGGCTATGGTACCTGGTGGTTATCCAAAGATCTCTCACTCCCCCTTGACACCGACTTCTCAAAATAAGTTTTAAAGGTCAGTTTGTACTCTGCCCCGAGACATGGAATGTGATGTGTCAATGCCACAGATCATTCACTTCACTGAACATACCAATGTCATTTGACATTCTCATAATCCAAGCCAACGTCCAAGGACATGCCAAGGAAGTAGGCGGGATCAGGTTTTAAAGATAAATAAAAAATGTAAATACTACAACAACTGTTTCAAGATTGACAACCCCAGTTACCTTCACTGACCTACATCGTTAAGGTAATTTGTATGAAATTTTGAGGTCACGTTTGTATTTTGAATTTTGTATCTGGCTTATAAGACGACCTTTTGTGTCTGTGTGTGTGTGTGTGTGTGTGTGTGTGTGTGTGTGTGTGTGTGTGTGCGCGCGCGTGATTCTGGTGTCGTCTTATCACCGAAATATATGGCAAATCTGTAAAAGGGGTTTGAAAATAAGTTAAGTATAGTAGTAAGTACCAGTAAGTTGTTGCACAGTAAGGATGTACTTAGGTCACCTCACTGCGCAAGCCATTACTACACACAACCCTCTACACTCCACTCTTCTCTAAACTGCAGTAGATCATCTATGAATGGCACTAAAAATAAAACTCCTACAGATGACCAAAAAGGAAAATAAAGGTTTTGTTTTTGGTCACAATCCACTCTTCTGCATGCCCCTCTATTACAAGATTAATTTCATATTTTTGCAAGAGCAGACATATCAACATTGTGGAATTTATTACTGTGTGTGAGGTGTTAGTTTGTTTAATAAACCAGTGTAACAATATTATTAATTAACCCATGGAGGAACTTAGTAGACTAATGTAAATTTCTCTGTTTGTAAAGCGAGATTAGTCCTGGGATACTGTACTCTGCTATTAATGGTGGGCCACTTCACCTCATTACATTTGTACTATATCATGAAGGACTGTGTGTACATACAGTACTGTATAGCCTATAGATAGTATACTGCACATAAATAAGAAAACCTAGAAGTATTTTTGAACAATATAAGATGTCTTAATTACCTCATTGCCCACATTCGCAGAGAGGATTGCCACAAGCATAACGTGCTCCTGTACTAATCTCTCAGGGGTTAATGATGGCGCCACAAGGGAGTCCATGAAGAGATTTGTCAGGATGTCATTCATGTCGTTACGACTGTATTTGATGTACAGCCCTTCAATCTGACTAGCAATCCCAGCCATATTGCTCTCCGCTAGACGATTCAAGAGTCCCTTTAGAGTTTTCTTGAGATTGGCAAGTTGTTCTTTCTTCTTTTCATCAGTATCAAGAGCCATCAGCTTGCGAAGTGCTGGTGGAATGTATTTCCCATCACCAGCTGCATCCTTCTTGTTTTCTATCACATTTCCCTCTTTATCACGTAAACGGCCATATATGTCTTCTGTTACACCGTCTTCCTCCTGCTGTTGGTTTTCACCCTTACTTGTAACACCTTGGCTGTTTTCCTTATTTTTACTGAATTTTGCACTAGCCAGAGTGTCATCTTCAGCCTCACTGAATTCAGCACTTCCTGCAGACTCTTTCTCAGCTTCACTGAATTCGGCACTTCCTGCAGACTCCTCTTCAGCCTCGCTGAATTCGGCACTTCCTGCAGACTCCTCCTCAGCCTCGCTGAATTCAGCACTTCCTGCAGACTCTTCAGCTTCGCTGAATTTAGCACTTCCTGGAGAATGATCTCCATCACTAAGATGAGACTTTTCCTGTGTTTCATCATCAGACTCGTCACTAATGACTGGTATACTCAAGTATTTCCCCGCTTGGTTTCTCTTACAGGATGATGCAATTTGGGCCCTTTTCTGCAGAACTTTACCAAAATTCTCTTCATTTGCCTTTTTGTTGACTGGACCAATTCCTGCCTCATCTTCACTTATAATTGGTATATGAAAGAAATCTTTTTTATTTTTACAGTCTAATGGTGGTTGATCACCAGAGAACATTTTCTGTTTCTTTTTTAAGGTCATCTTGCTGTGCTTATTACCAAGTCTTTGTGCAAGAGTATCAGTCTCCCCTTTGTCATCTGAAACTTTCTCCAACAAATGTCTCTTATTTCCTTGAGGATCAATGTCAGTGTCATCTTCAGTACTGTCGTTTCCTTCATCAATTGTTTTGTTCTTTTTACCTGTTATTTCTGGCTCTTCTACGCTGCCTTTGCTATCATCATCATTATTATCAATTAAACTTTTCTTCTTTTTCTTTTTGCCTGTTATTTCTGGCTCTTCTACACTGCCTTTGCTATCATCATCATTATTATCAATTAAACTTTTCTTCTTTTTGCCTGTTATTTCTGGCTCTTCTACACTGCCTTTGCTATCATCATCATTATTATCAATTATACTTTTCTTTTTGCCTGTTATTTCTGGCTCTTCTACACTGCCTTTGCTATCATCATCATTATTATCAATTATACTTTTCTTTTTGCCTGTTATTTCTGGCTCTTCTACACTGCCTTTGGTATCATCATCATTATTATCAATTATACTTTTCTTTTTCTTTTTGCCTGTTATTTCTGGCTCTTCTACACTGCCTTTGGTATCATCATCATTATTATCAATTATACTTTTCTTTTTCTTTTTGCCTGTTATTTCAGGCTCATCTTCACTGCCTTTGCTATCATCATCATCAATTACAGTTTTCTTTTTCTTCTTATATGTTATTTCTGGTTCTTCCGTACTGCTACTACTGACGTCATTTAGGGTTCTCTTCTTTGTATGTATTGTCTCCTCTGGTTCTTCACTGTTGCTGTTACAGATAATTGGCACAGTCACCTCATTTTCATCATCACTTGTACCTATTATTTTCTTTTTATCCTCCTCGTCTTCATCATCGTCAATTATGAATATTCTTTTCCTCTTTTTACCTGTTGCTTTTTCTGGTTTCTTGCTTCGCATGTCCTTTAGTTTACCCTTTTTCATCCAAGGAAGAAGAGGGATATTATGCACGCCTTCATCATCACCATCGTCACTGTCACTGCTAGTTATAATTCTCTTCATCTTCTTAGGAGATGAATCACTGAACTCACTTGGAAGTTCATCACTCACATTTTCAAACTGTACCTCATCATCACCAACGACAAAATCTTCGAGGTCTTCGTCGTCATCGCTGTTACTCGAGTACCTGTCGATGTCATTCTCTTGGCCATTTTTTAAGATCTGTGGCTTACTGTAATAGCCTGAGCCCCCTTCAAAGGCAAACTCAGGTTCATCCCTAAAGTCATGAACAAGTTCCTCATCACACTCGCTCTCTTCTTCATCACATTCCTCTGCTTCAGAATCCAGTAATCCTTGGTGTTGTTCTCTACCTTCATCATCACTTGAAGCTTCAGTTAATTCATCCCCATACTCCTCATCACTTGGAACATCAGTTAATTCATCCCCATATTCATCTGAAATGTTATCTTTTCTTCTGGGGTTCACACAAGCTTTACGCAGCGGTGCATTATTCATATTTTCCATGGTATCAGTATCAAAATCTTCTGTACCGTTCAAGTCTCGGTATTGCCCAGTGCCTATCCGATCAAAGGAAGGCACGTTATTATTAAAGGCCATATTTTCTGTGGTATCTGTGTCATATTCCTCCTTACTATTTTCAGAATCTTCCAAGGCCAATCGTTCACTGGCATTTGAGTCGTATTCTTTACCTCTCATGCCATCACTATCGCTGGAGACTTCAGAGTCGCTATAGTCATAAAAGAGTTCTTTCCCCCCAGTTTCATTATTTGACGGTTCTTCGTAATAGACTTCACCCTCATCAGTATCCCTATTTGACCCTTCTTCATAATAGACCTCGCCCTCATCAGTATCCTTATTTGACGCTTCTTCTTCGTAATAGACTTCACCCTCATCAGTATCCCTATTTGACCCTTCTTCATAATAGACCTCGCCCTCATCAGTATCCTTATTTGACGCTTCTTCTTCATAATAGACTTCACCCTCATCAGTATCCCTATTCGACGCTTCTTCGTAATAGACTTTACCCTCACGAGTATCCCTATTTGAAACTTCTTCGTAATACACCTCATCCTCGTCAGTATCCCTATTTGACCTTTCTTCTTCATAATAAATTTCACCCTCGTCAGAAAATTCTTCACCTTCATTGTCGTCACCCATTTTAAAATCCTTACTTGTACTTTCCATTTTTTGTTTCGTTTTTAATCCTTTATTCTTTCCTTTGTTTTTTAGATTCTTTACTTCTACCTGTCCAAGAGCAATTGCCATGTCCCTTTCAAATTCATCATCACTGTCATAAGCCTCGTCCTCATTGGCTTTGTATTTATTGGCATTAACCATTGTACCTTCTTCGATGTCTTCTAACAGGCCTCCAAAATCATCAGAGAATATTGGCGCCACTTTCTTCTTCTGGTGAGGCTTCTTGTACCCCAAAAGTTTAGCCAACTTGTTTATTTCCTTTGTATCGTCTTGCTGATCCTTTCTCAGACTTTTCAATTTACGTTTATCTCTGATCAAATTACCTTCCTCGTCAAATGACTTACTTTCAATCTGTCCAATTTTCTTGTTGGACTTCTCGCTATGGTCATCCATGCGACTGGTTCCAGCTTCCTGGTTGACGTATTCCTGTAGTCTAGACATGCGATCAGTACTGGACGATGAAATTTTAAAGCCTTCACTTTTCTCTAGAGGTTGTTTAGGTAAAGTGGATTTACCAATACCTGTACCTTTACTGGACTTACCCTTCACAATCTTCTTGATTTTTCCAGGACTCGACTTGACAGTATGTGGATCCATTTTCCCTGCCTTCACTTTCTTTTTTTCTCCATCGACAAATTCCTTCAGCTGCTGCAACTTTTTCTTAATAGAAATTGTACTCTGATTCTCACTGTTTTTCTCCTTGAGACGAGCAGCAAACAGAGCCCGTTTCTGTTTCTTCTGTTGCCGTTGTTGTTTCCTTCGTTGATTTCGTCCTTTTATATTTGTTAGGAATTTTGAAGAATGTGCTGGTTGATTACGCCCACTACTTGTCTTTTTAAACTTCATAGTAACGACGAGTGACACTTTAAAAGATAACAATGCCGTTGATCAGACACCGTTGCATGTGTCGAGCACAACTGTTGTTTGAGTTAATACGACCCCAAAAAGAAAATTTTAAAGAATTATAACACTGACTGCTGACGATAATAAACGAATTTAAGGGATGAAATATCCTATAGTACTTCGATATATTATTATTTTTATGTTAGATTAGTGATAGCTTCAGTAAATGTATTGACGGAAGAAACAATATTAATTTTATTTTAATATTGATATTGAATAATAATCATCAATAAATTTAATTTTTCAATTATTTATATTGTAAATTGTTATATGAGTAATAGTATGAGTCAAATAAAATGTAAGCTATTATAAAGTATATAGGCTTGTACTCTTTTAATTGGAGCTCGTGGGTATATATCTTACTATTTATCATCACACTATTAGTTTTTAGTAAATTATATGTTTATTCGTCATTTAAAAACACCAATAACATATAAATTGAGTTATAAGTGAAATTAAAAAAAAGAAATATCATATTTCTCCTCCGAAACCTTTATCATATAATAGATTTTTTTATGAATGAAATGAAATATATCTACCACTACAAAGAAATATAGATATACAGTTGTATTACTCGTATATTATGGTGTAATTTTGATAATAATTTAATAATATAGTATTGTAGTAAGGTGTTGGCCTCAGCTGAGAGAGGCTCGCCATTGTTGTCACATCTCGCTCCTGTCAGCCTGGATTTGGCCACCACTGTAAGTATTATGGCAACGCGTCTAATGCACAGTCAAAACAAACATGTCAACTTCCACCACCAAAGATGACATAGCTCAGTAGACCTCAGAAATAAAGCTAATTGGTGTATAAAAAGGTGTGTATGTGGTATAGACGACACGGGGCTGACCTTGGCGAGATATTACGGTTTTGGTTACTGGGGAAAATGGAGGAAGAGAATGGCTCATGCCGCCACCACTACTGTTAATATGACTTTATATTCTAATTTAACTTAGTAATGTATGGAGTTTAGTCTGATTGCCTGATTAATGTATGATCGTTGACTTTATTAGCTCGAGGTAATTTCCTTGAGTTTATGGAGATGACTTTTTTTTATTTTTCACTTTGTTATAAGAATTTGGTGCTGGGAGAGGAGAAAGAAAACAAATATATAATCATTAGAGGCTGAATTAAGTGATCTATTTCTAATTATGGGGTAAATATTTTTAAGTTGCCAACACCTACCTATATAGTCATATAGGGAGAAACAGAAAAGAACTAAAAATAATTTATTCCTTAGCATTTGTCAGAAATTTATGTTTAACTTGTTCAATGTGGCTAGGGCTTTGAAGTAAAGGGAGAATGTGGTAAAATTATTGTTTCGGTCACCCACCTATTTCGAAGTTGAAATGAGGGTTTTCCAGTGATTTTTGATGTGTTTAGAACGAATCTGACCTTTATTTCTACTGCAAATCACTATTTTTTTAACTACCTACCCCCTTTAGCCAATGATAATGTGGTACCTCCAGTGCAGTGGCGGCCCGTGACTGTAATTCGTGGGAGTGCTGCTTCAAAACATTTTTAATAATTGTTTTAATATTGTGTAAGACACACACACAGAAATACAGTAGGTATATGTATATAATGATAAAAATAATAAAATACTAAAAGTATGGTAGAAATGCTAAAAAAAACATTTAACACTTACGGATAAAATACTCCAGTCTAGCTTGATTCAAATTTATTTAAAAATAAAATCCATTCTTGTTTTCTTTTGAGCGAAAAGGTCAACAACTTTCTCATTGATCTTTGGATGACTGTTAAAGAAATTTTTCTCTGTTGAAGACTTTGCATATGCATTTAGCCTTTCCTGATTCATAGTGCTCCTCAGAAAAGTTTTTATTCTTTTTAATGTTGAAAAGCAGCATTCAGGCTCTGATGTAGTAATAGGAATTGTCAAGAGGATTTTTATCAGTTTCGTAATTTCACTAAGAACACCATCTAAATTATTTTCCAAGATAAATTTCAGCAGGTTAATTAACCTGCAATATTCATGCATATCGGACCTACTGTAGTTCAGTTTTCTTTGTCACTCATCGGATATGCTTCAGTGGCTCAATCCTATCTCTGCTGTAGGCAGTTTATTCTTAAAACTTGTGAAGCTTTACTTGTTGAATAATTTAGCAGCTAATAATTGTTTAGTGAAAGAATATCTCTCCACTATATCAACACATATGCAGTCACATACTTCCTTTGCTTCTGCCATGAGCGTCTTTGAAGGATTCTCACAGTACTTCGAGTTTCTTATTTCTAAAATAGCAGTTTTGAAATTTGTGATATATTCATGTACTTTAAACACATTAATTTCTCGAGACTGCATTTGGTTGTAAATTACTTCAGCATGAGGCATGATCTGACGAAAAAGCTCCAACCAGAACATGAATTTTTTATTATTCAGGTAGTGCAAAATTCCTGTTGCTTCTGAAATGGTTCGATCTGCATTTACCGTCGACTGGATTTCAGCAAGGCAGCTTTTTAAAGGTTGCAAATTTTCATGAACTTTGTTCATGGTCTGTATGCTAAAGTTCCATATGCTTATTGAGAATGGATACACGTTGTGGTGATCTTGAGAAAAATGTTGGTATAGCCTAAACGTTGGAGAAAAATATTTTTGAGTCCAGTGTAATACTTGCTGCATTTCTCATTATCAGATTCAGTTGGTGCCCATAACAGTGAATGAAATGTGCATTATTATAAACTGCTTTTATTTTTGCCTGAACGCCCCCTTTTTTGCCTTTCATGACATTTGCACCATCAAATGTCTCAGTTATCAGTTTTTGTCTATTTCCTTGAAGGATTATATCTAACTGCTCTAGATTACATTTTGATATGCCATCTGCAGTTTGATTTTCTGGAATAAAGAATCCCCTAAAACGCTCAAATATTTCTTCATTCAGCACGTACTGTAGAACAATTACCATTTGAGTGTGTTCTGAAACATCTGTTGTGTCATCAGCCATGACAGCTACAAATGAAGCTTCTTTAATCTCTTTCTTTATCTCATCATGGTATATCTGCAGCAGGTAGTCAAGTATCTCATTCTGAACAGTCTTAGAAACACCTGTGAAGACTGTACTTGTTTCTAAATGGTTCTTTAAATCTGGGTCTAATTTAGATGCAAAATTTAGTACCGGGTAATCCCCTAGATACACCTGGATTTACTGAATCATCTTCTACACAATAAAGTTTCTGGAAAAAACAATGAGTACAAAATGTAGTCTCTATGAGTATGAATCATACGCATCATCCTGTTCCTGTGTGGTGCTTACGCGCCGTCTGCTATATCAAGAGTATTTGAATGTGATAAATTGTAGATGATGTGATATCATACAGTATGATATCACATCATCTACAATTTATCATGTTCAAATACTCTTGATATAGCAGACGGCGCGTAAGCACCACACAGGATGATGCGTAAACACTACCTCCCACACTGATAACCAGATCGGCACTGTGTGAACCACAGTGCTCGCTCCTGCTTGCCTCCAGGACATGCGCGCATGCGTGAGACAATGCAAACGCCCGTTATTGGAACTGTCGAGTAAGACAGATCCACATACAGTACAGGGATTTTTGTTGTTTTCTCGGAATTAGAGGATGGCCATTGACATAAAGTTTAAGGATTATTGATAATAGTTTTAAATATCTTGTACAAGTATAAATAAATAAACATATATGATATGTTATATTATATAATATATATCGGGTGAAATAGGGGGTGCTGCAGTTCCACAGTGCCTACCGACGAGCCGCCACTGCTCCAGTGGGAACCAGGGGTTTTGGGTGGGGCAAAATCATGGTAAATATTCGTCCATTGACTGTCCTCAGAGTTTTGATACAAAAAAAAAATTGTGTTTGTGTGTGTGTATTATGGTATGTTTACTCAAATCTGACCTACTTTTCGGTATTTTTTTATGGTAATTCACACAACAGTCTTACCCCAAATCTTTTATCATATTCGAAAAAGACGATAAAGCCTTAAGAAAGCGCCACCAGCAGAAGTTGTTTGTTGATTTTATTTATTTTTGCTTTACTGTACTTATTGGTTTGATGATTTTAAGTATATTAAAAGCAACGAAAACTTTCTATTGTAATTTTAAGTATTTTTTAGTAAATTTTTAAATTTACTCTATCCCGCTTCACTATTCTCCTCCCTGCGCCTTTTTTGTTGTTGTTGTTGTTTATCTCGCTGAATCCCTCTTCAAGAGACGTTTTCTAAATGATGGTGAATGCTTCCACGATTTCCTCCTTGCCATTGCTGATGTATATCAACTTTAATGTTATTGTAAGTTGTTTAACACCAAAATTAACACGATATGCATAGAATCTAATAGAACCTGACCTAACAAACCCAACCTATTGAATTTGTTAGGTCAGGTTCTATGCATTGTCGTTTCCGTTTTCACATTTAATATCATGCTAATTATGTGTACAAAAAGAATTTAACCAAATCGCACCTTTTCTTGTGGTGGTAGCGCTTTCGTAAACCTTTACCAAGACGTCTAATTTTAAGATAATTTTCTTCTATTACATTACCGTCGGAAACGTATAATAATGTTGATAGCGCTTGCCTACCCAACCTCCCACTTAGCGTGTTCTCTTCATAAATCGTCATGCGTTTCCGTACACGTCACGCAGCCATCTAAAGTGTTCTTTTTTTTAGGTTAGGTCATCCAAAAAAAGGTAATGTTTTTCCAAGTCTATTTTGGTGTGTTTTGTATTCACTTGGCCATGATTTCTGTCAGAAAATGCTTGTTTCTCTCCACCCAAAACCCCAGTTCCCAACAGAATCCCCGATCTTGTTAGGGGGAGAAGGGGGCGATAACTAAAAAACAGGTAATTTCCAGTGGAAATCAAGGTCAGAACTAATTAAAATGCACAAAAATACACTAGAAAAATATAGTTATGACTTTCTAGCAGAGTTGTGTGATCTATAAATTTATCTTCATTTCTTGTGCAAATTAGTTTAAAAAAAATGTAATTTGTAACCGAAACCACTAATTAGCACCAAAATGGCGGTCAGGTTTGAGTAAAACATCACAAAACACACACACACACACACACACACACCCAAAAAAATCCTAACCTAGCATAACCATTTTTTTGGAGTTTATCTGCTTCTGTGGTGGAGGATATAGCTGGATGATCTGGTATGCTTAAAGGTAAACAATTTCCACATGTAGGAAACAGTCTTGATGTTGGTTGGACACCATGCTCTTTTAATATTTGAATTGCTTCATTGTCGTTCTCATAAACTGCTGAATGGAGAGAACATTTATCATGCGCCTTCAAAATTCTAAAGTGCACAGTGGAAGGCTGGTTAAAAATTATTGGCCAGCCAAGTCACATGACACGGTACTTGAAGGTCATTGGTTGTCAGGTCGCAAAGAGGAGGAGGGGGGGGGGTGGAGGGAAGTGACTCTGGCAACATGGCGGGTACAGAAATTTATTCCCAGAAATTTGTGAGATACTGTACTCCGTAAATGTTGATTTTTGCACAAGAAATGATATGAAGTCGTATGTTTGGTTTTTTATAGTCTTTGTGTCTGTAATATTAAAAATTGGAAACCTGCGGACAGCCAATGGACAAATATTAAACAAAATCACAAAAAGTAGTAATTTGCGATAAAAATGAAGGTCAGAATCATCCCAAACCCAACCTAACCCTAAACTTAACCTATCCACTTGTGTGCTTACCTTAATTAGACTCCTCTTCTTAGACTTGGGAATAACATTTCTTCTCAGACAGTAACAAAGGTGTTTTTCAGCTCCTTAACTACAAGGCCTGTTACACCTTAAGCAAGTAACTTCCATGGTCTGACTAGCGCGCCCCGGGTGACGTTCCAGAACATCCGCCTATTTTCCTGCCATTTTTTATTTATTTTTTATTAATTTTGGAAATGTTGATTTTTTTTTCTCGATTTAACCCTGCGTGAGGGTTACTGCCAGCAGCACCCTAACCTGGGGCTTAATGGTTAAAACCAAACAAAAAATAAGGTACTGTATACAGGGTACTAGTATATTTACCATAATTAATATAATTATCAAAAATTATTTCAGTAATATTACATGCACAATTTAGCAAATTGTTCATTATTGTGATAATTTTTTAATTTTTTAAAGTACAGTAAGATCTTGTGTTTCGTAAGTAATATAGACTGGAAAAATTGTGCCAAATTCAAATTCGCCAAATGCACTCTACATCAACCTCTGATTTTACCATTTATAACCTCCAAATGATACAAATTCTTCCTTTATTGACTTGATTGTGCTTTCCAGAGACTAGTTTTTAGGCCTTCCTCAAGTAATTTAATCACACGTTGCTTATCCTTCATCGAGTGCTTGGCAAACTTAACTCCCTTATGATAGTCCCGCTTCTCCTTTTCCTTATTTGGCCGCTTACGTGGGTCTCCCATCCCCACCAGCAAGACCCCCCCAGTAGAGGTAGAGGCCATTATCTTGACTCGACAGGTGGCAGCACCACCCAAAAAAGCACACAACAGCAGCCCGGGCGGTCGCTAGGATGCCTCGGGTTACAACACTATAGTTGTGTTCTTGTAAACCTCTTATTCATTCACCACCGGCAGTTCGATCACCAGAACGCTTCTTGGAAACATTCCTCTTACCTTGTCTTTCCGTATTCATCACTAACACAACAAAATTGGAGAAAATGGCGAAAATCACGGAGTAATTGACAGAAACCGCGTGATTCAACTGATCACGTGATGTAACAGAGAGCGCTGGTGTAAACTGTTATTAGTCCTCACTGCGAAACATTCTTTTTACTTATTCTTTTCATTCAGTATTTATGGATAACCGCTAAATTTGTAAAAAAAACGAAATTTACAGAGTACCTCTCAAAAAACACTTCACAAACAAAAGACATGAATCAATTGAACATGTGATGTCGAATGTGAACTGTAAACATTGCATAACCCCGCGCCACGCTTAAAGCGTTGAGGATGGAATCAAAACATTGTGGATGGAATCGCGCTATAGCCAACATTCGTTTGCAAAAGTTCGCGTTTTACAAACAGCGTTCCCCTATTCATGAATCATGTTGCAACCAATTTGCATTGACAAAACTCGTGTTGTAGCAGAAGTGATTGTAACTGGTATGAGGGCTGTGATGTCATTCTAGACGATGGCCAGCATTCAGCTGGCTGGATCTCGCGAAATTCATGATATTTTACGCCAAATATAAGACTTGGTTTCATTAGGAAGTGCTTGTGAAATATGAGATCTTACTGTAGGTCATTGTCTGCACTACTCTCTTCTGTGCAGTAATCTGGGGTTGTGTTTTAGTAGAGCAAGAGGCACCCCATAGTGTGTGACAGTGTAGCAAATATTGGTAAGCAAGATCATAATAGATTTCTTTCATTGCTGCAAGAGTGAGTGACTGATGGGTGTAATACAGGATACTGCACTGTTTATTGACTTTATTGTGAATGACTTGTATGTGGTTTCTCCAGCTAAGTTTTGGCTAATGGAAATATCCGAGTAACAAGACGACTCTCAAAGCCAGAAAAAAATTCCTCATCCCCGGAATTTTCCAGGTAACAGAAAAATTTTCTCGGAAGTTCCAGAAATTGCCCATTACATCACCCCTTGAACCCGGAAAAAAAATCCCTCGTCCCCGGAATTTTCCGGATAATGGAAAAAATTTCTCAGAATTTCCAGAAAATGCCCCTGATTTTCATCTCTCAAACCCCGAAAAAAAATCCCCCATCCCTGGAATTTTCTGGGTACGAGGGAAATTTTCTCTGAATTTTCAGGGAAAATTTGCCCCTCGGAAAATCATTCCCAAAGCCGTAGTTTTCCAGAAAATTCCAGCTTTGGGAATGATTTTCCGAGAAAATTTCAATTCCAGCTATCGGAGAGTTCCGGATTTGAGGGATTCTGGCTAACGGAGATATTACTGTATATACAGTATACAGGGTGTCCCATAAATTTCCATACATAGGAAAAATAAATTTTATATGAAAATGCATTTTTATTTATATAATATGCTCTACATGACTACCATTCTGTTGAAAACACTCTTCAATGCGTGTCCTCCACTGCTGAAGAACACGTTCAAGCACAGCTGGAGTTATGCTTGTAATGGCGTTGGTGATACGTTGTATGGAAACCTATGGGACACCCTGTAGTATATCAAGATAATTAGAACCCCTTCTTCCCTCAAATATTGTTATTGGAAATTTCTGGTTACAAGAAGTGAGATTAATGGGAACTACTGTAATAAAAATATTTAATTTTTTTCTCAAAGCAACACATCATGATTTTGTCTCGTATGTTTTAATACTTCTGTTTGAATTCCTTTGAAAAGTATGGATACAATTTATGATCATGTCTAACTTACTGACCCCATTTTCTTTTAGGATTTTCAGCCTTTACTGAGTTTCCATACAGCATATAAGGGAAATTATAGTTTAAACTTGGTTTTACAGGTGTGAGTGATGTCAGAGAGCGAAGATGGCAGCATCTTGGGAGGCAGTGGACCTTTAGATATGAATATTGTTAGTTTACCCAAAATGGATGCAGCACAGCTTGACCAGCTAGGGCTTAATGGGCATGCAGGAACCCTCAGTACCAGTGGTCTGACTTCCTTGGCTGCAAATCCCCAACAATATGCTCCTGCATCTTCAGGCAGTACACAAGCTATCTTGGAACGTGTCATTGCACAGGGACCCCGCGCTCTGAGTAATGTGAGTCCTGCGGTGACATTCACAACTGCAGGGAGTAGTGCGCAAGATTCCTATGGTAGCCTGGAATATGTCACCCAGATGCCTCTCCAAGATGACCAACAGGCAAAGTTCCCAGATACCCTTGTGTCAGTAGATAATGTTGCTTTTGTAGACATGAATGATGCTGCCATTAAAGGGGCAACTGCATCAACTCCCTTGGAACTGTACTTTGATGTTATGAACCCAACTACCACTGCTGCTCCCACAACTTCTAGTGGTCACCATGTCCGGCATGAGCACCAAAACCCAAAGTCTCAGCTGTTAGAGAGAGCTTATTCTGACATTTTCCTTCAGCAGCAGGAACAGCAACAACAACAGCAACAGACGCAAGATCAAGAACCTGAACATATCCTTCCAGATGTTACGACAGCTAATCTAGTTCAGATAGAACACGAAGGACTTTCACATACATTACATGATTACCGAAAACCAAATAAACTGGAAATACAGAAAAGACAATTACAACAGCAGTTGCAACAGCAACAACAGCAGGAAAGACAACTTCAGCAGCAACATCAGGAACAGCAACAGCAGCATCAACAAAGACAGTTGCAGCATCCACATAGGTTACAGCAGCAGCAGAAATCCTTTCAGTTTCAACAACCACAACAGCGACAAGTCCAACAACAGCTACAACAGCAGCTACACCAAAAACATCATCATCAACAACAGCAGCAACAGTCACAGTTACAACACCAACAGAAACAGTTCCAACAGCAAATTCCTAAAACCCAGGAGCAAAATAGTCAAGACGATGATCAAGAGCAACAGCAGCAGCAGCAACACACCACTCAACACATGCCTCTTGTTTCTCGCAGTGGCCGGCCCATCCGCCGCAGACCGGAATATGTTGAGTATGTGAGCCAAAACTTGAAAGAGGAAGAGATTTTACCTCACCTTCCGGAGCAGTTGGTCAAAGTTGAGGCTATGGTTATAGGTACAGATTATGAAGAGGAGGACCCTATGGAAGAAGTGATGGAAGAGGACGACCCTTTGGAGGATGAGATGGACTCTAATGATGAAGATCCAGAGACCAGTGGTAATTATAGCACTGATGGGAAAAAATCTCTGCCACACAAGAAAAGAATTCCAAAGAAACTAAAAACCACCAAAAAACATGTGAAGTGCTATAAGTGTGCACAATGTGGTGAACAGTTCACAAATCAACAACAGTTTGCAGCTCATAAGCAGACACACACACCACCTCCAATGAAACCAAAACCTTTCAAATGTGAAATTTGTGCAAAAGGATTTGATAGTCAACTGAAGTTTTTTGAACATTTAAAAATTCATTATGAACCATACAAAAAACACAAGTGTGAAGTTTGCAGTGGAGAGTTTGAAAGTGCTGATGCTTTGCAGGAACATTCACTGGTTCACTCTAGGGAACATTTCACTTGTGAATTGTGTAACAAAACATTCCGTAAAGAAAGCATGCTTGAAGTCCACTTAAAAGTTGCGCACATGGAAGAAGAAGAGACAAATTCTATTGATAAACCTTATACCTGTGTTGCCTGTCCCAAGAGTTACCGTACACAGATGGCTCTTGACTCCCACGTCCAGTCAGAACACAGTGAAAATCCACCAGAATTTAATTGTGAAGATTGTTATAGAGTTTTCAAGTCTAAGACAAAATTGGTGACTCACAGAAAAACTGAACATAAAGAAGAAGGACCTCAGAATAAGGGTGCACCCAAAAAGAAGATCAAGATAGGAAAGGCAGTAAAAGGTGGTTATGCTTGTTCTATATGTCCAAGGGTGTTCACGCACAAAAACTCACTCGTTTATCACATCAGAGGACACACAGGTAAGAGAGTTTACAACTTATCTCTGCTACTCTTAAATTTTCTAGTGGTGTTGATTGTTTATCTATTTGATATACGTTACATGTAACCATCTCCTTTTACCATACAACTAGAGTTAGATGTTAGGGCTTCATGTAGTTTTGATATAGCTACCTTACCTAAATTTTAGGCTGTTAGATTATGCTTCTCCTACCGTTATATGAGATGATGACTGGATGCATGAACCTCTAAGGAAGCAAGGAAATTAGTAGGGAGAATGATGTAAGACAAGTGTAGGAATTGACAAGAAAGGGTTATGATAACAAACAGAAATATTCACACATAAAATCCTCAACCTGCATACATATTGAACCTTACTGACCTTATTGTTTCAATTCATAATGCAAACTGAGTTGCTAAAACATTGCCATGCAAGTGAATGTTCAGAAGTTTAATTTCTAAATTCAGAATAGAGGATTGGGTTTCCTCTTAATACACTCGCTATCCCCTGTGCACTCGGCAATAAATAAGAACACCATCTGTACACATACCAGTGGTGGAACAACCTATCAGTGGTTTAACACTACCCAGTGAGTGAGGTAACACTCGCTATTGGAGCTATGCTAAGAAGCAAATGGTAAGCACCTGCCCAGCCACCCTGCATCAAAACAGGAAGTGACTTATCTACACTTGTATTCATAAAAAAAAATTTCTTACCAGACTGATCTATTACTTCCCCACTCCTGAAACCTTCTCATTTGACATGAAACTTGATACATGGTAGATGTATCCTAGTGAACTTCGTGTGACTTATATTGTCAGTTTTTTCTTAGTTATCAGTTGAGTACCTTGATATTTAGAAGGTACTATCATTGTTTTGAGGGCAGCCTTAAGCTCATTTCTTGCTCATATGTATGTATGTATGTATGTATATATATATATATATATATATATATATATATATATATATATATATTGAATTTCTTTCGCCTTTATTCAAGATGTCTTGAAATAAAGATTTAAAGCTAAGGTACTCTGTTTCCATTTTCCCTGCAGATTTTATTAAGATTTATCTTATCCACGTGTTTTCATTGTGGATTTAATGAAATATATATATATATATATATATATATATATATATATATATATATATATATATATATATATATATATATATATATATATATATATTGATAAAATCACACGGTAAGGGAAACAACGGAGCACCTTAGCTTTCGTCTTTATTCAAGACATCAATAAAGATTAAAGCTAAATGCTCGTTGTTTCCCTTTTCCCTGTGATTTTATCAAGATTTATCTTATTCACACGAAAATATATATTTATTTATTTATATATAAATATATATATATATATATATATATATATATATATTGTATATATACATATGATATATATATATATATATATATATATATATATATATATTATATATATATATATATATATATGTATATATGTGTATATATATGTATATATATATATATATGTATATATATATATATATATATATATATATATATATATATGTATATATATATATATATATATATATATATATATATATATATATATATATATATATATATATATATATATATATATATATATATATATATATATATATATATATATATATATATATAATTGTTTTCAGGTGAAAGGCCTCATCAGTGTGAACAGTGTGGTAAAGCTTTTTATGCTGCAAGTGCTCTCAAAGTTCATCAGAGACTACACAGTGGTGAGAAGCCTTACAAGTGTCAACTCTGTGAAAAATACTTTAGGCAGTGGGGAGATCTCAGATACCACACAACATCTGTTCATTCAGAAGATAGGTTAGTGTCATTGTTCAGTGTTTTGTGTAACCCAAAGCATTGGGACAATGTCCTATCCATTTTGGGTTTAACTGCTTGATAAATGTTTGTACAACAAACTCTGGCACATTCTAATTATATGTTTTATTTATCCTCGTTATTTCACATAACTAACATCACCCGTCAATACTGTATCCATCTCTAAAACTCGTGACACTGGTTCTCCTGAATTTCATGCTCATCACTGCTTTCAAGATATCCGACCAGCTTACTTTTAATGCATTCTTCTATCTCCTTGGTCTTTCCTTCTCTGTCATATCATCTATTTCTGTAATAATGCACTTATTTTAATAAATCTTTCACTTAAAGTAGAACGTCGATTTAAAGTGATACAATTTTAAGAGTATTGATTTAAAGCAACACCCACAATTAAGGACAATGTTTTAATTTAAAGCGAATCTTTCCTATTTTGCGCGAGTCAATCTGGCGCATCATATTTTAAAATTCACGCTTAATGTTTCTCTGAACAAGCTACACTGTCTTAAGGGCAAAGCTGTACTGTACATGTACTAAATGATTACTAAAATTTTGTCTAGTGCAAACTACAGTGGTCCCTCGGTTAACGAACACAATTTGTTCCAGAAGGTCGTTCGTTAACCGAAACCATTGTTTCAATGGGATTTTGGGTAATTGGTTCCAGCTCACCGAAAATTACATACAAACTAAAAATAAATGCAGTAAAGTACACTTACTTTGAGGTGTGTATGTAGAAGGCTCTTGGTTGATGATGATGATGGGAATTAGAATGGGGGTGGAGGAGAAGGGAGAAGAGAAGGCATTGTGTTGGAAGAGAAAAGTTACTCCATGCTTCCATTTCTCCCATAAAATTTTAGTTCACTTAGTGTAATTCAAGATTATTTTCTTTATATCAACACTGCACTGCATTATATATTGTTAATATGTTAAAATAAACTTCAGAATGACCAATAATTGTACTGTAAAAACATAAAAATAGTTTATGTTGAAGAGAGTCTGAAGCAAGATGCTTCCTCCTCTGAGCAGGGACACACACTGACGCTATTTTGGGTGTGTTGAGTGGCTGTTTGGCTCACTAAAACTAGTTCCCTGTACTTCAATTATGTTAAATAATTGTTAAAATGACTAAAAACTTTAATATAAGACTTGGAAAATTGTTGAATAGTACGACCTTCTTGATATTTACTCAAATGGTAACGAATTTAAGCCCTAAAACCGATTACTGTATTGGCGGACTAATACTACAGCTGGTGAGCAGGCGCAAACATGTTGGGAAAAATTCGCAAGGAATTCATTAACCGAAGTGAAGAATCTTATGGAAGGTAATTCATTAACCGAAATTTCGTTAACCGAGGGATCACTGTATAGCATGATTATATTCAAATTAATCACTATCTTATACAAATTCCAGCAATTTAAATTATATTCTCTCCGGTCACTTCTGTAACATTTTATATATAAAAAACAAAAACTCAATCTAAAGGACGTAAATAAACAAATAAATACTTCACTAGACCTTCGGCGCCAACTGTCAAATGTGTCACTGTCACCCCCCCCTCCACCATCTTCCCAGCCAGGGTTGGGTGGTTATAGGCATACAGTTTTATCTTGTACGTATAATATCACAGACTAAATTTAGGAAAATATAATTTGCATTGCTAGAATCCTTGCAAGACCGAATAATTTGAATATAAACGTCATATATTTTGCACCAGAGATAAAAATTTTAGCCCTTTGTAATAAAATTAGTTAGAATTGTAATTTGTATGTCTAATGCAAACTATAGCATGTTTATATTCAAACTATTCACTATCTTATCAGAATTCCAGCAATTTTAATTATATTCTTCCTGGTCAGTTTAGTGACGTTTTATAAGAGAAAACCTTAAAGTCACTCTTAAGGACAGATAAATAAATAAGCACTAGACCTTGGCATTAACTGTCAAACACATCACGACACCTCCCCCCCCCCTCCCCATTTTCCCATCAGATGATCGCTAGTAAACAGACCATTTCACGTCCCATAATTTTAACTGTGTTGATCAATGAGTTTGTTTTAAAATAATACTGTACTACAAAAAAGAAAGTTTTATTTATTCTAGGAGATGGGCTGAGGTGCATCTGGGTAGACTCTCAGTCTTTTTAGTATTTTGTGTCTTTAAAGTACCAAACTAAATTATTCCATTGAAACAACACTTCGATTTAGTGCGAATTCGATTTATAGCGACTTCTCTTGGAACTTATCTCGTGTTATATCAACGTTCTACTGTATAAGTTTTCTCATTACAGTACACTACAGTACAATATTTTTTTCCAGAACATTGTTCTAATTTTTTTCCATTTCTTGTTATACCCTCCACCAGGTGGCTCTTCATCCAGTTTCCTCAAACAACCCTAAATTGTTGAGCCAGGAGCATTAGTTTAACCCCTATAAGTAAACCAGTTGCCCTTTCCATCCCACATACTTAATGGCCCCAAAATGGGGAAGGTCATGTGCAACACATTTTCTAGGAACTGGTCTTTTAATGGCAGTGTCTGACCAATCAGCACACTTCACATCAATAGTCATTACTCCATCACCATGTTCATGCCATTTCAACATCTTTGATTAATTTCTTAACCAATCACCATTGAGAGTGGACATCCTTCACTGCTTCTCCCTTGGCCTGCTTATTTACTACAAAACCTAGATTTCTGCCCTTTTCATGAGACAATAAGAATAACCTAAGTTCTTTTTCTCTTTTCCGTTGAATAGTTATTAGGTGTTGAGAATATCATTTCAATGAGTTTATTTACTTTGTTTACAGATCGTTTTTAGTCCAGACCATCTGTGATTTGGTTTAATGATACTCTTCTTAGAACTAAAAAGACAATACCATGTGAAGGTTTCTTGCGGAGTTTGTATTTGATTTTGTATCGAGTCTAGAATAGATCTATATGCATAACTGGACCTATTGTTTGTGTTGAATAATTGGATATCCCCTGCAGACAGTATCAGTGTGAATACTGTGGGAAGGACTTCAAACGCAAGTATTGCCTGGTTGTGCACCGCAGAATCCATACTGGTGAAAAGAATTACAAGTGTGACTTCTGCAACAAGGCATTCCGGGCTGCATCTTACCTACAGAATCACAAGAGAATTCATACAGGTACTGTACCGTTTAATTATGACAATGAATTTTATTTTATAATTAAAAATTGGTTCACCTGAAGATTGGCCCCATCAGCTTATTTCACCTGAAGATTAACCTCTTCACTACGGGAATGCCATTTGTAATATTTTATCTGGCTAACGCCAGACAATTTTATTGAGCACGAGGTGAGTTAACACTACCTGGGGAGGTTAGGCTAGTGTAGCATTATGGAGGTTAATCTTCAGGTGAACTAAGTGGAGGCAAATCTTCCACTGATCTGAAAATTTTTTAAGGAGCTTTGTTGGTACCATATGCAGTGAGTTCTGCTATAACGTGTGTTTTGATAACGCGAATTTGCTCTAACGCGATTTATGAATAGAGGAACGATATTTGTATAACTCGAATACTTGTTTGCTGTAACGCGATTTTTGCTTACTATTTCTCCAATTTTGTGGTATTAACTGTGAATATGGTAAAGAAGAATATCTCCAAGAAGCGTTCTGGTGATCGAATTCCCGGTGATGATCGTAAAAGAAAGGATATAACACTTGAAGAGAAGCTCGATGTTATCAACCTCAAAATCACCCTTCTCCCCCATCAAGTTACATTCATATTTTTTCAAGGTAAAGTGTTACATTTACTCTATGATTTCATTATTAGATGTGAATGTAACATTTATTTAGACTGTGCTATCCTTTGTGTTAGGCTAACTACTAAATTTTTTCGATTTCGAGTAATCTGCACCTAACCCTATTTTCTCCATAAGCCCTGTTATTTCTATTACGCAATTTTCTATAACACGATATTTTACAAGAACACAACTATCGCGTTATAGCAGAACTGACTGTGCCTCATTTCTTCAACACTCTTGGGTTTAGAGAGGTGCTTTACAGTGAGACGCTTGGGGTCTGGCTGGTCACTAACCTCACTGCACTAGACTGCACCACATAAGAGATAATTGTATGTATTGAGTCATAGCAGGCTTGCTAGTTGAGATAAAAAGGTGGGGTTTGATGCATTATCAATGCAAATAAATTATCTACAAACCGTTATATATGAATAATCACAAAATAATTATTTTTATACGTAAGCACGAGTAGAACAGAAATTTTTTGTTTACAATTAATGAAAATGTTTATGCATCACTTTATACCTTTGTTATTTTATGCTATTGCAATATGAACTTTATACTACAGGTCCACAATCCTTTATCTGCAATTCTGATATCCAAAGAGCTCTGAAAACTTAAAGTTTTTTGTGGAGCATCACTCCGTGCACAACATACCCAGAGTGACGCCGAACATGACCCGAAGCTTGACCCAACCAGTTGCGAGGCGTCAGTTGTGTCTCAGCAGAATATAACTTGCACTGCTGGAATCCTTGAAAGACAGCAAATAACTTGAATATAGACATCATATATTTTGCATAAGAGATACAAATTTTAGTCCATTAGTGTAGTACATTTTAGTCAAATTTTTCAACTATTTTTGTGTAGATATACATAACTTTCTTCATTTATTTTTACTCATTTACATGCACACACTATCCTAAATACATATTTATCCCACAATTTCATTTATACCTAACCTAACCATTCTGAAGTCCCAAAAATTAGAAAAAAATCCGTAAAACATTGGCCCCAAGGATTTCAGATAAGGGATTGGCGACCTGTATTATAAAGCATATATATTTAATAAAAAATAGTTTTAGAAAAAAATTGTGAAAAATTAATATTTCGCTAGCTAATAGTGTAAATTGTGTGTTTTGATGAGCACTCCCAGGCCAAGTACAGATTAGGTATTAGTTTTTTCCCTCCAAGTGCAAAAGATAATTGTACATATTGAGTCACGGCAAGTTTACTATGGAGATAGAAAGGTCAGATTTGTAAGTGTGAGTATAACACAGATTGTAGTGCATGGCTGCCACTCAAGCTTCCTAATGTGAATACTCCTTGCTCAATGTTTCTATTTTTTACATAAATTATACATAATGTGTTTATAAACGCTTCTAATTTTTTTTAATTCATATGAAATAATAATGTAAATTATTGGTTAAATGTAATGCAATTTTTTTATTTTTTTTTATTTACTTATTTATTTTACAAAAATAAATTAATTTCTTTACTTACATATTGTTAGATGTTGGATCACTAGTGATGTCCCTGTCCCCCCACCCACCCTTTCCCCTCTTCCCTCTGTGCCCCACAGATGTACTTAGCCTGAACAAGGTGACTAAATCTAGTTTTAGTGGGAGTATGGATAATGCGCACTCATGAGGGAAATTAGAGGTCACGAGGTAAGTCACGCTGTGATGGTTGAGATACCACATGTGCAACACTTTCTTATTTTTATTTTTAACCACAATCACATGCAGGGCAGTTCCTTTTGCATTAGGACTGCTTGTTGAAGGGCCAGACAAATTATCCTTTGCACAAGAAGGGCCAGGGACACTGGGACAGGCCTCAGGAAGCACCACACTATCACCATGTGGTACAATCTCCTTGTACTTTTTACATTTTCTCATCCTTCCACCTTCCTCAGCAACATGAGGCATAGTTCAAAACTATCATAACACTGTTATCAGTAAATGAAATCACTGTTATGAACAAGAAAATGGTGGGAAATATAGGTCAAAGTTAGTTATGTCCTGTGCTGTTGAACCACAAAGGGTGACTGTTGTGATCACTCAGTAACCTTGGAGGTAGTCTACATACATGCCAGATCGCACCAGCATTTTCAGATGTGCTTCTTGCATATCTAGCATTCATATGCAAACAAAATTATTTTATTGTACTTTTTTATTTCATACACAAATTTGCATATGAAAACCCTAGAGCAGGGGTCACCAAACTACGGCCCGCAGGCCGGATCCCAAGTCCTTCCCCGGCTCGTGGTAGCTCCGCCTACGCTCTGACGTTACCAGAGCTTTCGTTCTGGCTTGCAAGTATTGAACAGAATGATTATGCGGCCCGCGCTCGTCATTCTTTCAGTTATCCGGCCTACTGTGAAAAAAGTTTGGTGACCCCTGCCCTAGAGTGATAATTTGGATCTTACACAAATTTGGCCATGAAACCCCCAAGGGTGTTAATTGAGAAGTGTAGATCTACTCGGCCTGAAAACTGAAAAAAATTCAATACATAAACTCAATCATTAGGAAGAGTAAATTTAAAGGAATAATAGGAATATTGGGGAGATATGAGCTGAAAACTACTGTTTAGCTTGTCCATCAGTTATGGTCATTAACAGAAAAGGTTTATTTCAAAAAAATATTTAAAAAGACCCTGAGGGTTGGTGGGAAGAATATCCAACTGTAAAACTTTGCTTCAACATACCTGATGGCAACTGGGTTATCAGAGTTGTGTCCTTCCTCTGGTCCCTGCTGTATTTTCTAAGGTGGCACCCTGGGGTTTTAGGGGATGAGCAGAATAACCCATTCTGGTTTTACTCAACAGCTGTTATCAAACAATCACAGCTAACCCACACAGGCATGGAAAATTTTTGTTAAAATTGATGATGGTGATAGTACAGTCTACCTGTAGACAAAAAAGAGTTTCTCAAAACCCCATATAGTGTAAACCATAGCTATATGTTGACAGACAGGAATCAACCAACAAGTGTAACTAATGAACAAATATTTAAGGTTATTAGGGTAGATTTGGTGTGGTTTGGTTTATGATTATTTTTTTCTGTTGTAGCAGATGGTAGTGGGAAGATGTATCCGCTTAGTTGGTCTAAATTTTGAGAATGATTGGATGAATGACTGATTTTATATGAATATTTAAAAACCAGTTCCAGTAATTCAAGAATGTGGGAGTTTTTTTTTCCTGCTTGCCTATACATTGGAAGCGATCATGTCTACTAGATTACAAGTGATAATTTAGATAATTTCTCATTATTTTTGCTGAAAATAGACCGGGTGGGTCTAAGGTTCCTGTAACTACTGTAATCCACTTGGGTTATGATCTGCTTTCCTGACACTTGAATAGGGAAAAATCAGTATTCTCCTAGGATGGATAAGAGGTTTGGTCTTACATATATATTCTGATTAAGATTAATATTCAATAGGTGAACGACCACACCCTTGTCCAGACTGTGGAAAACCTTTCCGTGTCCGTTCGGACATGAAACGGCATCGCCAGACTCACATGCGAGATGCCGCAGGCTCTGGGTCTGGGGTAGGAACACCAGCATCAGGTCATGTCAATCAAGGTGGCACTCAGTCACCATCTCCAGCTGCTCAGGTATGTCCATACACCCAGCCTCTTGTTCAATTATCACATCATTTTACTTCCTCTGATTGGTAGGATTAACTAACTGCCTTTCCCAAAGTGACAGTTAATTATGTCCTTCAAATTTTTTTATTTCATACTGAATATTAGCACCATTTATCGCTATGTGATGCCTAAAGATCGGTTTTATGCTGATCGCTACCAGATTGCTTTTCCTTCATTGTCACTACTATGAAAAAGAGATGTGCAATAACTTGCAATATTCCGAGATATGAATGGTTTAACACATGCGACCCACTCGGGGTGCGTGAAAATTCTGCCAGTCCCAAGTGATTCCCAGGCTAAGCAGTTGAACTTGTCATGTTGCTCAGAGGATGGTTTGTGTGTTGAAGAAGCTATACTTAGTACTTAAAACAATATACTGTATACTGCATGAGTAAATGTGAAGAATAAATAAAAATGATAAATAAAAGAAAAGAAAAACATTGCTTTGCCATTTGGCAATCTTGTCACAAGCATGAGACAGCAGATGCATGAGTGAATGCCACTCCCCCTCTCCCTCACTCTTGTGCTAGCTCCCACACACATGTAATAAATGTAGAATCCCTTTATGTTTTTGAATATATATATATATATATATATATATATATATATATATATATATATATATATATATATATATATATATATATATATATATATATATATACATTACAGTAATGTATTCATACATATTATATATATATATATATATATATATATATGACATTACAGTAATGTATATATTATATATATATATATATATATATATATATATATATATATATATATATATATATATATATACATATACATATACATACACAGAATGTATACTGTGTTTGTGTGTATATATATATATATATATATATATATATATATATATATATATATATATATATATATATATATATATATATATATATATATATATATATATATATATATATATATATATATATATATATATATATATATATATATATATATACATATATATATATATACATACACATATATATATATATACATACACACACACACACACACACACACACACACACGAGTACAGTATATGCGCATTCTGTATGAATAAGTGTGTGTACACGTAACAGGGTAGAAAAATGGGGTGGTGAGGAAATTACGTATATCTACCTAAAGAATACGAGTTGTTAAATAACCAATAACTCAGCTCACAACTTGGGAGGCTTGGATACCAACACACACACACACACACACACACACACACACACACACACATCCCCCCACCTGTGGCGCTGCTACTCCCACGATTCCTGGGGACGTACAAAATTTTTATTACTTTGTTTTTCACCTTAAGATAATTATACAGTAGGATCACATGTTTCGCGACTAATTGGTACCGGTTTTAGCGCCACAAAAGTTAAAGTCTCAAAGCGAGTGACATTGAAATACATATAAATAAGCCTAATCAGTTCTGCGGTGTCACCCAAACCCCCCTATAATGACCAACAACCCACCAAGAAAATGACATTACAGTAATGTATTCATACATATTATATTGTTGATAACAATATTTATATACATTCATACTTTAGAATAACTTACCTTGATGGAATCAGTGAAATGTTTGACAGGACTGGTTGATGGGTTCTGAGGCAGGGAGGGCTGGTCACTGCTTCCTCTCTGCTCCCTCCTCTACACCATCTCTAACCTCAGCATCAAGTCCCTCAAAGTCTTGAGGTAGCTCTTCCACCAGTAAGTCACCCAGCACTTCAATGTCATCAGTGGTGCCATCATCATCTCCAAAAGTGATGTTTGCCAAGGCATTAATAACAGGCTGGGCCTTGTACGGGTACCCAGTATTAAGGGCCTGCTGACGAGCATTAACACGGGACATGTACAAGGCCTTATATTCCTTTATAACCTTATCAAGGGCAGAGCACATAAGGTTCCGAGGATGAGGCCTGGTATTGTAGTCTTCTAGCTGTTCACCGAGACGTGCAATGTTTGTGAGCAACTCAGTCAGCTGGCGTGTTGTAGGTTCACCAGGCTTAACGTCATCCTCATGTGTTGGTTGCTGTTCTTCTTGTTCTTCATCCTCCTCCAACGTTTCTTCAATTGTCGGTTGCTGCTGATGTTGACCAACGATTTCTTGCAAATCTTCAATCTGAATATCTGAAAATCCCAGTGCTGGGACTGAGCGCGCTGCCTCCACTGTGTCCATAAGTGTTGCCATCACGGACTGCCTCTCCACGCTTGCCTCGGTCTGCTGTGCCCCACTTATCTTGGAGTTAGCGAACAAAGGCTTCCATGCGTGTAACACTGTTGCAACATTAATCTTTGCCAGGCCTCAAAAATTCTGTCCACTGCATTTTTAATATTATATTTCTTCCAAAATTCACAAACTGATAACACTTCACAGTTGCGGGGTGGTGAGGTGCTAGGAGTCGGGTCATTTACCATCTCCTCCTCGTTAGCTGGTAGAGCCTGGTGACTGTCAGAGTTCTGCTTTGATTTGTTGTAACTCAACTAATGAGTCTGTCTGCTGACAAAAGTCTTTATAGAGTAACTGATAGTAGAACAGTTTAACATTTTTGATGAATTCCTGGTCAAGTGGCTGCAGAAGCTATGTGGTGTTAGGAGGAAGGAAGATAACTTGTACATTAGGATGACATCACCTGGACCACTTTGGAGTCAATGTTCTTCTTCCAGCAGTACTGTTTGGCGTCAGGAACAAAGTGGTTGTCAAACCAACCAGTGCATAAAGACATTGTAACCCAAGCTTTCTTATTAGACGTTCAATAAACATTGAGCTGCCACATATTGGCATGACAGTAGGATCTAGGATGGGCAGCACAGTTAACAACCTGGGGTTTCATCAAGAAATCTCCACTTGCATTAGTTGTGAATAAAACTGTAATCCTGTCTATTGAAGTCTTTGCACCCCTCAGTTTTTCTTCCTTGACAATGAAAGTAGTCTTCTGTGAGCACTTCCAGAAAATGCCAGTTTCGTCACAATTGAAGATCTGGTCTCGGCAATAACCACCCTCTTTCACAAGAACTTGAAAGACAGGTAGATATTTTTCTGCTGCTATGACATCAGCCGATGCACTCTCCCCATGGTAGTGGGTAACCTTGACTTCATAACACTTCTTAAAGAGAGCCAACCAACCAACAGAAGCATTGAACGGTGGAAAGTCAACACGTTTCTTCTGTGCAACTTCAGCGTAATAAACACGTGCCTGATGCCTTATCTGTGACCCAGACAGGTCGCCTTGCCCATGGTTTCTTCATCCCAACCACTTGTGAAGGTAATGTTCTGTGATAGCAAGCAGTAGGTGTTGTTGTGAAGTATCGGAGAACGTCCTGTTACTTGAAAATGTTGAGAATACATTCACAGAAGCAGTTAAGGCTTCCTTGTTCTTCTTAAGGGAACATATGGTTGATTTAGGGCAGTTGAACCTACACATGATTTCACAGGTACGAGCACCACTTTTGATTATTTCAAGCATCTCTGTTTCATTTCAAGGGTGTATTTCCTCTTCTTGACCCCCTTACGGTAGTTACTCGTGGCTTGGGGCTTTCCTTGTTGACCTTCTCTACGGCCATCATTACCACCAGAACCGCTTCCGACATTTACATTACACACTTCACTCATTGTTAATACAGGTACACAAGAATTGTTAATGGTTAAACAAGAATCTCGCGAACGTAACCACAATGGGTTATATAATCCAAGTCACTGCACCGCTCGCTTATTCAAACTAACTGCCGTTACGCCGTAAACAAAAAACACTCGGCGGGTCGACTGATAACAAAAGACTGTGACAATGCTCGCTGTCCACTCAACAATGACTCGTGAAACTGGTAATGAAAATCGCTCTTCTTGAGAGGCTGGAAATTTTAAAGGTGACACAGAACATATGAATCACGAATCTAACTCTCATAACTTTAAATCCTGTACTTATGAACGATTTTGTGCATTTAGCAGAGTAAAGAAAATAAGAAGATTACATATATCTGCTCAAAATTGCTTGTTGAAAAATAACAATAACACAGCTCACAGCTTGGCTGGATGCTGAGATACCTACACTGCACTCCCCTTCCTCTCCCACAATCCACACTAACTCACGGGACATAAATTTTCTTTATTCTCGTTAATGTTTTTGACCTTATTAAAATCATATCTTTTATATTTTTTGCAGTCTTTTTTGAATGATTGTGTGTGCACGTAACAAAAATTAAATGAAGAAAATTACGTATGTCTACCTCGCTCTGATGAGTCCCGTGCACATAAGAAATGTTTACCCCCCTTTATGTTTTTGACCTTATAATAATGTTTTTTTCACATTCTGTACAAAAGATTGTGTGTGCTTGTAACAAAGTTAAAAGAAATATGTATGTCTACCCAAAATTACTTGTAGTAACAGTTAGAGGATCACAACTGAGTACTGTACAAGTACAGTCTTGTTCAAGAATTTTTGAACACTGCTGGAGACAGCTGGCAACTCAAGGCCGTTTGTTTACTATAGTATAAGTAAGTAGTATAAAATAATACGAAACAACAAAGCCCAACCATTAAATTAAGCAGCGGTTAACTAAGTAACCAATCACCGATAACCTTTTACATTTATTTTTACTACCTACGATAGTAAACAAACGGCCTTGAGTTGCCAGCTGTTTCCAGCAGTATTTGAAGAATTTTATTTTTATGTCTTTATATTGTATGAATTTATTGATTTTATTTCTACAAATTATTTGAGTTATTTAGACATTATTTAACCTTTACAACAGCAGGATATAAAACTTACTTGGATTCTTCAGGGGCTCAGGAATGGAACTTCTTTTTCCCCATAAGTTATAAATATTACTGTATATGATCTGTCACTTAGCGATTGCTTTTTGAAGTCCCTAACCCCATTGTATAATGGTCATTGCCTGTAATAAAAAAATTGAAGAAATCAATCAATAGCTGCTACCATGTGCATTCTAAACTGAAACTTTGTTTACAAATGGTGGGCAGCTTCATTCCCACTTGCTAAGCAACTTCCACGCCTGCCACGAGGGTGTAACACATCCATTTCCTGGTGATTGTTTAAAACTTTGGTGATGTATGTTGAGCATCGCGTTCAGTGACATTAAAAATTCATTCGACTTTTGTCGAACATGGTGTCAAAGGGGTTAAAGGAAATAACATACTGCTACAGTCAGATGATTTATTCTGTTCTCTGTAATATTTCCAGGTTGTACCTGGAACAATATCACAAGCAAACAGTCAGCCTCAGCTAATTTTATCAGACCAGGTGTCAGTTCCTGGAAATGTAGATCAACCAATCCGAATTATGGTTTCTAGCCTAAATGCACAACAGGTAACGACTGCAGTTCACCCACCACCAGCTCATAGACAGTCACAGGTAAGCAAGTCAAGACAGTAAAATTAACAAGATTTACATTTTGATTAAGAGTTATAAGTTTATCTGTAAGTTGAGTAAAGATGAAATATGTTGTCAATGCTTATACCGACAAGGTGAAATTTTGATGTGTATTTCTCTATACAGTAGTGAGAATTACATGATATATACTACCATTGATCTGTCACAAGTCTTACAGGAAGATTCTTGTAAATCTATTTACATTTTTTTTGCTGCACTTATATTTACAGGGAAATTACACGGTAATATCTCCGTTAGCCGGAATCCCTCAAACCCGGAAATCTCTGATAGCTGGAATTGAAATTTGCTCGGAAAATCATTCCCAAAGCCGGAATTTAAAAAAAAAAATTTGGCTTTGGGAAAAAAATTTCCAAGGTTGAAAATCGAGGCAATTTTCTGAAAATGTCTTGAATAAAGATGAAAGTTAAAGTATTTTTAGAGGGGAGACCTGACCTGGCCTGGCGTGAGTCAATGTCAGGTGGAGGTAGGGTGGGGGATTAGTGGTCTCATATTACTGACCTTCTGATGGAATGTCAGGTCACCTTTCTTGTCTGGAGGATTAGTGGGTCCCATGACCTGAAGATGTCTTGAGTAAACACTAAAGTATTTTTAGGGAGTTTGTGATAAGTATAAGTCTAAATGAGCAAAGTTGTATCCCTTCAACATTACATAACATTTTAAAATACGGAGTTGCGAAAGCAGAAAAGTGTGGATGATTGGAGAGATGAAGTGAAAACATGCACCAGTGTTGCCAAGCAATAAGCTCCTCAACAGCTGATCTTTTAATTCGTCTCCATGCAGTCACACAACAAGACCCTTGCTGGATCCTTGCTGTCTTGATTCCCGTGTGTGTGTTTGGTTGTGTCTATGTGTGGTTTTGTGTGTGTGTGTGGTTGCATCTGTGTGTTGTGTCTGCATGGTGTGTGTGTGGTTCTGCGCGTGTGTGTGTACTCAAGTGTACTAAGTTGATCCCTCCTCCTGGGAGAAGGGTCCAGTTGGGGAGGTAGGGGTCAAATTCATCTCCGTCAACACACCAACGCCGCCTACACACCCTCCAACACACACACACCCTAACACCACTCACACACCCCCAACACATCTGTGGTGTGTGTGTGACTGCATGGTCACTTCTACTGTACATACAATACATAACATTAAATAAAAGCTACATACAGTATTTTTTATGTTAATTTTACTATATCTACAACCATCGTTAGTCGAGACATTAATATACACAAAATCAATACAATAAGCTCTAATACCCACACATTTTATCCCAAATATTGATGGATAGTTGCTTTGGAAAAAATCCACAATGGCAACTGTAAGCTGACGTGAATCAGTCCTCTCCATATGGTAGGAGATACCGACTGCACCCTCCCCCCATCACCAAGAGATCACTACACATACATGTATAGTTCATGAAACAAAAGTCAACTTGTGGCATGATGGATGACTCATTAATGAGTAATACAGTATAAAATCAAGAGATTTTCTGGGAATTTTTTAAATATACTGTGGTCCCTCGGTTAACGAACACAATTACAGTCTCCTTCCCCAATCATGGGGATATGTTCTTTGGCAAGACATGAGTATACCAAACGTCAGCTCGTCTTAAAATCCATGTCCATGCTTAGCAAAGGACCATACAATTTTGTTTTTAATGTGGGAATTCCACCTGTGGTGGTGGAGGGCCCCCCACTGGGACAAGACCCTCAAAATTCCACTTTTGACACTTCTGGGGTGTATTTTCCTCAGTGGACAGCATCCCTAATCTCTCACACAGTGCAGTTGCCATCTTGTTCATGTATCTGAGTGATCTTTTCTGCCTATCTCGATAAATCTGTGCCATCCCCTGATAATTGTGAGTGAACAACAGAGCTAGTGAGAGCAGTGCTTTTACAGTATACCCAAAAGAAAAAGAATATTTATTTTGTTGAAAATGAAATGGAATGTTTGCATTCACAAATAACAAGGGATGAGTGTACTTTAATGAATTTGTACCTCTGATGTACTCAATCCACTTAAAGGGATATACAAGTATTTAGGACCCATAATGATGATGATGGTACCATCTAGTGCCTGAATTTACCACCACCATCATGAAACCCCCAAATTGGAACATTGAGAGTGGAAGCCAGTACTTTTAATATGCTATGAGAGTTGGAAACTATGATTGGTGAGGGATACCTATAAACAGTTTATTAAGGATGATCATTAAATGAAATACTGTATGGCGTCGATCATATTTTGCCTTAAGATGATAAATGTGGGCACCTTTTTACAGGGTGACTTGTGTTATGAAACAATTTATTTGTTTTTTATTACAGTATCCTAGTCTGTTGCCCAAATCACACTAAATCAGTGCAATATATTACTGTAGGTATTTTCCAACTGATCTTTTCAATATTCTTTTGAGTAAATGTGTTAATCATGACTGTTTTGTTTAGCATGTAACAGTGCCAGTGTCTGGGAACATAGCAACTTTAACCACTGGTCCTGTATCTCCGGGGGGGACAACCACCACCTTGAGCCCAGAGGTCATCATTATGGATGATAACACTCACCAACCCATCAACCTCAACATAATTCCTCGCATGATCACCCAAGAACAGGTGGCATCCTCACCACACACCAGCCATGCCACCCTTGTCACTACTGAAGAAGAGGTACAGTATATGATTTCTTTATTGATTTAAGGTATGGATGATATTTGTAGTAAGTCAAAAGAAAAGGGAAGGAGAGACCAGAAGGGATGTAGAGGGACGATGTTAGAGAAACTCACTTTTAAGAAGAAGCGTGACCTTGGAGGAGTGGGTGAAGTTTTGTAAGGTTTTTAATTTGAATGTGAGTAACTTAATTAAGATTAGAACTAATTATACTTAATTTAAATCTTCAACCCCTTTAAAAAGAATTTGATTTGGTGCCTTTTTTGGAATATTGCCTAGTGAAACACTTTTAAGAAGTTTTCTCAAATGGCAGGCATCAGTGTATAGAATGCTCTGTGTGTAGACTATACACACATACTGTAGGTGGCCAACTGTGGGTCTTACATACATTGTGCATCGTCTAATAGGTTCCAATTGGTTAAAAGGAATCCTTCAGATCCAAGAACCAAAGCAGTTTTTATTAACAGATTTTGCTTTTTATAGATGACTGGTAGAAACTATTTTATGTACTCTTTTAAATTGACATAGCATTATGTCTGAACTCCATATGAGATGCATTACTCTTTGACTTTTTTCTGGTACTTAAAGGTTTTACAAGCTTAAATTGACTTTTTATTACTGTACATCATTATTGGATCAGAATTAAGAGAAATGATATGTTGTTGTATGTACATCTTTTATTATATTGATATAACATGTACTTTGCATAATTTATGTCCTCAGTATCTTGCTAACTCTGGCCGCAACACCCTAGAGGTCCGGGGAGAAGAGGGAAGTGTTTACGTCTGGCATGGAGTATTTACTGATTAAATTTAAGCTTGGTAAGTTTGTTTAGCCACCTAGAAAATTGACAAATGCATAAAAGAGTTTGAGAAGCAGATAGTAATGGAAGGCCTGGAAAGACGATAAACTTGGGTAGTTGATGAATACCTTGGGAAAAAAAAGGTGATGTCTATCCACCCATATTTACATTGTATTTATTGTCTTTTGAATAGGCCACATTTTTTTGTGTTTTGTGCATTACACCATTAATGTTTTATAAATACAATAGTATAAGATAAACATCAAAGCTGGTATGTGGGGTTGTGTTTTCTGAAATTTTCGTGTGTCTGGGTATTTAGGTTTGAGCCTCTTAGGGTGATAAAGCTATACATTGTGTGTTGACTTCGTCTGTGAGGATCACATTCTTTCCATCTTGTTCACATGATTTTTAGTTATTTCATATTAGTAGTAACCAAGAGAGGGGTGTTGAGATGGTCACCCACTGAAGTGTTCGGGGTAGGAGTTGTGGAGATTATTAGTTGCAGGTATTGTACAGCACCTAAAAGATATAAATGGATAGATATGTTTAGAAATATATAAATGGGTAGATATCTTGAATAGTTCAGAGTGAGATAGTTATACAGTGTCTTATTATCTTTGACTACTGTTAGCTACATTCAGTTTACTTCTTCCAGATGTGAAGCACAAACAAGTAAGTATATACTGGAGGCATCATGCTTTTCATTAGTTACAAGAATAGTGGCCAGTTGAGGCAATTTCTACTTGGACTTCTTTGCTTTGCCATTTTCCAATGGATTGCCTCTTGGCTGTGTTTTCTTCCTGCTATGAAAAGTTATAATGGGTAAGTGTTCATTATGTCAGCTAGATGTTCTGGAACAGTACTAACACAGTACATGCCAGATAAAGTAATAACAGACTGTAAATGAGAAATAATTTGTTGAGAAGATCGTGTACCTGATATCTCCAATATTTTACTTCTTTTTATGGAATTCATTACTATTAATATTAATGGCAGTGCAGTTGAAGTATTGACTTGCCGTAGACGTTCATTAGCTACCTCAGGTTGAAATTTTTTGTACTGTGGTACTTCAGAACAAACATATTTTGAAGCTGTGCTAGAAAGTCTCAGCAGAATATTGATCTGAAAAGTTTTTGTATCATACAGATCAAATATTCACTATGTTTAAGCTATCCAACAGTATTTTATACAATTTACTGTAATATATTTATTATAAAACAAATAAATATGCAATATTGGAATTTATGTTGAGTCCATTTTCTCTCAGACATGATTTTTTATGTTAATTTACTATTGTATTTAAAATTTTTTTACAGTTTTTACGTTAAATAGTAGTTAGATATTTGCTATTAAATTGGATTGGATTTGTTTCATTAGGAAGGAAATTTTGACATAGCTGATAAGTTTTGAAATTGGTGAGGGTCTTTCCAGTTTGTTAAAGATGGATCAGTCTGTCGCAGAAGAACTGGCCGACTCATGTTAAAACGTCCAACCCAAACACGTGTTAATTTTTATCATGTCTCCAGAGTATTTCCTAAACAACCAAAGTAGGTCGATGGGTGTCATTATTAAAGAGTGTGATGAGGTAGAGGTTTCTTATATAATTGATAGTTTTCTTTGACATCTTGATAAACTTATTTGCAAATGTGTATAGCTATAGAAAGATTTATTGGTTCAAACTTGAATCATCTCGGTGTATTTTTCCTTTTTTTTATCAAACCACATTTCAACCCCAAATAAATTAAATGGAACCGATATACCATCAACCTTCACAACAAACTGCAGCAAATCAAATCATCCTCACCTCCTGTAGCAAGACAAATCATTTAACGTATCACTTGATGGATCGTAACTTCACTGTTGCCACTACGTTAATTTGTCAGGGCGCGCCATTATTTTTCATGTTTCCAGTCTTTTGAATATTCTTCCAATCCATTCAAAGACCATAGCCAATTGTTGTAACACATTTAAACTTTTCTGACTACAGTACTCCTTTCTGTTTATTCCAAGATCCTAACAGCTCTTTTTGCATACTCTCGTGATGTATTCATGAACCATAACAACTCCTGATATACTTAATTCCTGACTTGCTACAGTGATCTAGGCATTGACCACAGCCACTACTCTCACATCCTTTACTGATATATCCATAAGCCATGACAACCTTCCTGACAAACTCCACTGTTACAATCAATACCCAAAGAACTTGTATTCCAACTTACAACTTTTGAAACAGTCTGCCTCTCATTTTTCAAGCTGTAACCATGGCCCTTCATAAATTCTCACCAGCCTGTTATTCATCATACATTCCACTTGATCAGTTCATCTCCAGGTCTTTTCATCCATGTGTTCTAAACTTGACCACTTCACACATTACTCTTCATGTCCTCGTTCTGTCTACTACCATTTTACTTCATTCTTATAATACTGCATAAGGTATTCATTTACACTACAGTACTGTGCTGCCATTCTTTTAAGTTTTGCTAATATAATTTTAAAGTTATTTTCAAGATGATGTGCAGGTTTTGTGTACAGTATATGCAAGTTTGGAGACCAAAATTAACTGGGAAGACAAATGTACATTTTATATGTTAAACCAGAGGAAAGGGTGAAAATTAATTCTGTAACAAACTGCCAGGGCTGTTTTATTGCCAGCTGTAAAAGATGAAGCATGTTAAAGCTAGAAAAAATAATTCAATAAATGTTTGTACTTTTCCGTAATAACTATTTTGATTTGAAATTGACTTCTCAAGAAGCAAGTGTAGATCAAGTAAAATTCCCTTAGTGGGAAATAAGGAGGCATACTATATATTAGAAAAGATACTATGATAAAGTAATATCTCCATTAGCCAGAATCCCTCAAACCAGAACTCTCTGAGAGCCGTAATTGAAATTTTCTCGGAAAATCATTCCCAACGCTGGAATTTTCCAGAAAATTACGGCTTGGGGAACGATTTTCTGAACAAAATTCTGAGAAAATTTTCCCAATACCCAGAAAATTCCAGGGATGGGGTAGTATTTTTCCAGGTTTGAGAGATGATGTAATGGGCAATATCTGGAACTTCCGAGAACATTTTTCTGTTACCCGGAAAATTCCGGGATGAGGGATTTTTTTTTCAGCTTGAGAGGGTCGTCTCATTACCCAGAAGTCTCTCATTCCCGGAAGTGCTCTGCACCAGTTGTTCTGGCTAACGGAGATATTACTATATATTAAGTAAAGGGTCATTTAGTGAAAGGCAACTAAGAGTCATATGTAAAATGCTACAAAGAAGAGTAATTAGTAAAACACTACAAAGAGAGGAGTTTCTTGTTATACAAGGTACAAGGACCACCCAAATTCGCGGATTATTATTTCGAGGTTCTCTATTATTCGCTGATGACACCCTGGATGTACCCAAGAATGTCTGCAGGTAGTTTTAAAGTTGCCAGTATTTTTTCGGCCAGGTCAGGGAGCCATTCATTTTAGAGACAGTAATTTCCTTTACCTGTATTGTATATATATATATATGTGTGTGTGCGTGCGTGCGCACACACACAAAACACTTACAAATAAATAATAATGGGAAAATTCTCTCACAAATTATAAAAAAATTATTAAAAATGCTAGTCTACCCTCAAGTCTGTGCTTTATTTCTTTATTATTAAAGCACAGACTTGAAGATAGACTCACATTTTTAATAAATTTGTTTCTGATTATTTGTGAGAGTATTTTATCATTATTATTTATTTGTATGTGTTTTGTGCGTGAGTGTCTACACACACACACACACACACACACACACATATTTATACAATACAGGTAAAAGAAATAATTGTCTTAAGGGCAAACGCATAAAGAGAATATACATTTCTTTGTACACAAGTAAAAATGTTTCCCCCCCCCCTCCCCTGGGTAAGCAAATGTTATTTCGCGGCCATTTTCAGAACCTAACCCCCACGAATTGGAGGGCCTACTGTACTAGTAAGATAGTGAGGACCTTCAGAAAAGGTCAGTAGATATAAGCTGCAAGGAAAACTGTAGGTGGGGTCGAAGGAGAGTGAAGAAGAACAAGAAGAGAGATGTGGTGGCAGTAGAGAAATGTGCAAATAACTTGGTGTTTGGAGCAAGCCCTAGATAAGTTTTCCTGTCATATATTGGGAAAGACAATATTATTTAGCTAGAAATATGCACTATACAAAAATTTTAAGTATTGTATATTAAAATACTGTAATTGTTTTCACATACTGTATTCCTCCACTTCTTATAATGACATCCAGAATATGAAACCATCTTGCAAGTCTTAGTCTTATTAGTTTTTAAAATGCTATATGGATTTCCTTGGGAAAATGAACAGTTCCTATTTACTCTTGTATCACCAATATGGTTAGCTTGTGGTGTGTTATGGGGTGATAAAACTAATATTTTTCCTTCAATATGACATGTGACCCCTTAGGCATATTCTTTTTAGCCAAGAGTGTCCAACAATTTAGATGTGCCTATAATTGTTAACCCCAGTGCTGCAGATACAGGTAATTATGACAGTTGTTCACATCATAATACACACACATCAAAGTGTTCCTTGGATGAAGTAAATTATTTTTATAAAGCAAGACATTTTTCATAATGGTTTTATTTTGCTAACCAATATGAAACAATGAATTTGAGACTGATTAAAATAAGCTTGTAGTACATGATATACAATACATAAATTTTTTATTTTTTATGTACCTTCCCCCAAGTTAGACCCTCACATTGAATCTGTGTTTGTGTTCCAGTCAGCAGATGACCACAACAACTGTGGTATTATTCTTTGCACCAAAGTTCAGAATCTTTAGTACAGTACAGTAAACCTGCGGAAATGTGATTACTGTACAAAGGTACGAGCATTTCTGTGCTGTACATGATTACATTTTAATATTGTATGATGTTATGCTAGTTTTCTTCACTTGCTTTGTAGAATGCCTGAAATAAGTGGGTTATATATCATTAGTTGTTGCTGCAGCGAATTAGGTAATGCATTATAATAAACTCTGATACTTTGAGATATACAAGTAAGGTAGAACCTCGTTTATTTCCATCACATTAATTTTGACCTTGTATATTCTGTATCTCTTTGTTTGTAGGAGTGGCACACTGCTGCACTTTAAATAGTACTTTCAGATAGAGGCTTAATCAAGGTATCAGAATGAGCCACATTACTTGTCACTGGCATTCAGTACTCGCAGGCAGACACACATCAAAATACTGACCAGATATGGCTTATTTAAAAAAAATTAATTGAATGACAATATGTTGTCTTTTTATCAGGAAAGTTCAGGTACCCTATAATGGTAAGTATTAGTTATTTATGAAAAATCTAGTACAGATAGGTGTTATGCTGCTCTTCATGCAGCATTCAAGTGGATATACAGCTCACCTCATGTCCAATAGGTCTCTGGTTTGCACCAAGGGCACCATTAATCAACCCAGCTATATGTGGGTACTTGAATTTAGTTGGGAAAGTGATGGTGGTCAAGTGCACTACTGGCCATCCAGCCTTTGAGACTCACCAGCAAGTGTAAAGAGACTTTTAAATAAATGACAGGGTATTATATAGAACAAGAGAAAATTGGCTATTGAAGCTCTTATTAACACACATACTGTATATAATTTATTATTTGATATCATGATTTAAGTAGCCTGTATACCAAATGGTAAATCACAGTACAGTATATTGTACAGTAGTGGTTGATGTGTGTGCATCAGTTTTTTATATTTATATGTAGATTGTATAGGAAGTGGGCATTAAATTACAGTGGCTTTTTTTGGATTTCTAGAAAAGAGGCATAGGATGAAGCAGCCGGGTTGTTCTCACTGATAAAAAGGTTATTGGGGAAATACAGATTTGGTGGTGTGGTTCATCATTTGTAGCTGAATACCAGATATCTACATAATCTGTGTTGCACTGAAGTGCTCCTTCTCAATTTACTGTGATGAACTAATGAGGGGTAACAACATATTTTACATTTGGGAGTCCAGTATTTAATAGAGTTTTTCATCATATTGTCATTCATTTTCCAAACATTAATTATGCCATGTCAGTCTGCTTAGTTACCTCTGCACTGTCAGTGAAACTTTACAGTGCCCTATGCACTTAATGATAACCTTCAGAAAAAGCATTATTGGTTACCATCCTAGTGTCATATTCAGGTTCAGTGTTGGAAAGTCTTCCTGCAGTATTAGGTAAAAGCAAGTAAGAGTCCTATCAAGATTCAAGTAAGGATGA